CACACAAAAACAAAACCACGGTCAACAAAAAGTGGCAAATGATGTACTGCAAATATTGTCAAAAATCTCATCCGAACGACAAAATGTGTGATAGAAATCCGGGTTATAAAGACTATGTAGACAAACTGTTTAATAGAAGAACACAGAGGCTGAGATTGTATAAAGATGCCATTAAATGTTACAATTGTGGGTGCTATAATCATGTGAAAAAAAACTGTTTATTTAGAAGAAAATTTAAGGAAGCCAACATATCACAGGCAATGTCAGACTCAGATTCAGACACTGAACCATTTGAGACCAATGCAGTAACTGTTGAAACTTGCCCTGTATGTCAACAGTTCCATGAGGAAGATAGCCTTCCATGTGGCCATAATATACCTGTACAAGAAGCCAACTCAGCCACAAATACACACGGAACCTTAAAATTATACAGAGGAATTGTAAATGGAAGAATAACCACCATTTTGAGAGACACGGGCGCCACAATTTCAGGTATCCACAAAGATCTTATCAAACCTGAAAATATTACTAACAAACATGTAAATTGCAGAACATTTGGAGGCACAATTGAGAAATATAAACTTGCATTTGTTAATGTTAAAACACCATTTTTTCAAGGCAAATTGAAAGTAGCCGTTTTATCAGCACCATGTGCAGGTTTAATTTTAGGGAATGAAAAAGGTCTGAGAGAAATGTCTGAACAGGAAATTTTTCAGTGGGAAAGAGAAAATAACAAGGAATTGAAAGAAAGAGAGAAACTGAATACCAGTGATCAAGATTTTTGCCATAGTGTGAATGCAAGAAATCAAGGAAATGAAAGTGACTCATCCAAGAATAGGGAGCAGTCAATCATTCATGCAAGAATGAGTGAAAGTATCAGTACAAAAAAGAAGCAGAATGAAAGGAATGAGAATACAGAGTGTAAAGATAAATGTATGAAAGGAGCACAATATGAGAACATTGAGGGTAAAGATAATGATATGAAAGAAGTACTGAATGCAAGAGACATGAATGACAATGCATTGTGTGGTAAAAACATACCATCCATACCGAATGAAAGTGACAAGTTGAGAAATAGTGAAGCAAGAAAGAACACACCAAGAACAATTGCAGATAATGAAAAACTTGAAAATAGTAATTTATCAAAAGGTGACCACAACTCAAGAGAGAGAAAACATCATGAAAAATCCTCATACTATACAAGTAATTACATTTGGCTGAGGCAATACATCTTACTTACCATGTGGCAAATTCTGTTGATAACATGCCAAACATACAATCTTGATTCATTCTGTATTATCCACAGCATCCAGATCCTACAACTTCTTCTGACTATAAGTCCTATTTACAAAGATTGCTACAACTGTCAACTATTTGTTACTACAAAAACTTGTCAAATTCTTAGAAGTGCTACACTACTAACTTTTGTTGCTGAAACTATTACTTGTACAAATGATGTATTCAAAACACTTTCCACATTCGGTGATTACAAATCTTTATTGCCACAGTCAAATCCACAATCAAACAAACAGAATATAAAATAGTTACATTCATGAAAAACTTACAAAAAGATTTTGGGTGTATAAAATCAAAAAATTGTAATTTTTGTTTGTTAATTAGTCAGACAATTTATGTATACAATGATTCAGGTCCTTTTGTTGTTACAAGAAAGATTTCTGATGTTGATTATGAAATCAAATTTTTCATGTAAACATGCTTAAACCATATTTAAAAGATCACTATTGATGTCAGATGATGATGTATTTGATGCAAATTTATGTAATGTATATGTCACAGAAACTTAACCAAACTCAACAAAAATACAATACATTTGAATGAGAAGAGTTGCCACTAGTTATTAGTCTACAGTTTCAGAAGTTTCTTTTGGGAAAAGAATTCACTATTTTAACAGATAACTTGGGGTTGACAAAATTATTAACAATTGATGCCAATAGCAATCCAAGGGTATATAGATGGGCATTGTTAATATCACAATTCAAATTTAACATTGAACACATCAAAGGAACAGACAATCATTTACCAGATATCATGTCACGTTTGTAGAACATGTTACAACTGCTATTACAACTTGTATTAACTGAAATCAATTTATGTAAGGGTATGCATTGTATTATTGTATGAATGTATTATATGAATTTACAACTTGGAAAATGTATGTTTTGATTTGAACGGGTATAATATAGTAAACAATTAAAGGGAGACAACATTCAGGATTAAAATACACCTCACCAGAAAATGTTACATTTACTAGTATACTAAATTGAATTGGTGTAGCATTTAATTTGAATATGTGTGTTAATGAGACATGTTGTGGTTTCTGAAGACAAGGTAATTAACTACATCTTGTACCTTACATAGTTGGGAACAAAACCATACATTGCTGATTTATCCATTGTTGAGGACTTTCATGAATGGGAATAGCGAGGGTGGGACTTCATGGGGTCACACTTCGGTTTTAGAGCCAAGATTTTGGACTTCCGCACCGATCGGGGGGTGCCAGGAGAGGGGTTCGGTTGTATACCGACTTTAGAACTGGGTGGGGATACCTATGGAGCCATATTATTGGTCTTCCGCACTAAAAGGGGAGTGCCTGGGGTGAGGATCCCATTAAGGTATTCACAGTCGTGCAAAGACCCAACAGATGGCATTTTAGAGTGTTTGAATTGTTAACCTAATGACCTGATTAATTGAAAATGTAAAACATTTTTTTTGAGTGGGGGGGAGAATGTAGTGAGTCGAATTTATGTTTAGATATGACGTCAGTAATAGATGTAAGAGAATGTTTTTTTGACAGAACGAGATTTATGTCTTGAGTTTCATGAGACATCTGAAAGTCAGGTTTATGTGAAACATGATTGTTCACAGGATCTGTGTGAAATGTGAATTATCACGGGCCAGACACGACTTTCAACAGTGGGAAAATTCGTGAGAATGAATCCAGAATATTCTAGAATAGGATAGATCAGAGGGCTATATAATAACGAGGAAAAGGTTTGTGGGCAGTCTCGTTTTGGACCCAGGAACAGTGTGCATGGACAGCGGGTGGATGATGTGTGAAATTCAGCAGATGTTTTTGAGTGAATTTGTTCCAGTCCAACTTGGCGAAGAAAGCTGGCCAGTAATATGTCTGCCGGTCGTCTGAGTGCATCTGTCAGGACAGCTGTTGTGTTTCGTTTACGATGTTAGTGTAAATCGATTGGGATTTCTGCTTGAAGGTAATAATTGATTCTTGCATTATAATGTGTGCCTGGACAGTTGTCAAGTTCATGTGCCGGCTGTGTAAGCCGCGAGTGGAAGATTAAAGTACTGGAACAGTATAGTGTTGTTTCCCAGTCGTCCATTTTTTCTGCTCGTCGTGTGATGTCGGTTTTGTGAGTTGGCAGCGAGCGTGCGATGAGGCGAGCCAGTAGAAGATAAAAGAGAATCATCGCAATGCTATAGGAGCTTCACTGACTCCGCTGTGGGATCAATGCTATAGGAGCTTCACTGACTCCGCTATGGGATCAATGCTATAGCAGCTTCACTGATTCCACTGTGGGATCAATGCTATAGCAGCTTCACTGATTCCACTGTGGGATGAATGCTATAGCAGCTTCACTGATTCCACTGTGGGATCAATGCTATAGGAGCTTCACTGATTCCACTGTGGGATCAATGCTATAGGAGCTTCACTGATTCCACTGTGGGATCAATGCTATAGCAGCTTCACTGATTCCGCTGTGGGATCAATGCTATAGCAGCTTCACTGACTCCGCTGTGGGATGAATGCTATAGCAGCTTCACTGACTCCGCTGTGGGATGAATGCTATAGCAGCTTCACTGATTCCTCTGTGGGATCAATGCTATAGCAGCTTCACTGATTCCGCTGTGGGATCAATGCTATATTACAGCTTCACTGATTCCGCTGTGGGATGAATGCTATAGCAGCTTCACTGATTCCGCTGTGGGATGAATGCTATAGCAGCTTCACTGATTCCGCTGTGGGATCAATGCTATAGCAGCTTCACTGATTCCGCTGTGGGATGAATGCTATAGCAGCTTCACTGATTCCGCTGTGGGATCAATGCTATAGCAGCTTCACTGATTCCGCTGTGGGATGAATGCTATAGCAGCTTCACTGATTCCGCTGTGGGATCAATGCTATAGCAGCTTCACTGATTCCGCTGTGGGATCAATGCTATAGCAGCTTCACTGATTCCGCTGTGGGATCAATGCTATAGCAGCTTCACTGATTCCGCTGTGGGATCAATGCTATAGCAGCTTCACTGATTCCGCTGTGGGATCAATGCTATAGCAGCTTCACTGATTCCGCTGTGGAATCAATGCTATAGCAGCTTCACTGATTCCGCTGTGGGATGAATGCTATAGCAGCTTCACTGATTCCGCTGTGGGATGAATGCTATAGCAGCTTCACTGATTCCGCTGTGGGATCAATGCTATAGCAGCTTCACTGATTCCGCTGTGGGATCAATGCTATAGCAGCTTCACTGATTCCGCTGTGGATCAATGCTATAGCAGCTTCACTGATTCCGCTGTGGGATGAATGCTATAGCAGCTTCACTGACTCAATTCTTCAATATTTCCCACTAGTCATTAACATCTTGAGAGAGAATTTCTAAATCAGACAAGATGATTTACCCTTTTAAAGATATAACAAAAATTTAACATTTTTATAACAGAAACATTTTTTAATAAATATTAATGAAAAGGTTACATCTGACTTGTTATAACATAATGTTATTTAAAAAAAAAAAAAAAACCACATCTGTAACACTACATTGAAATGAATGGTTGATCAAAATGCTCTCTCTCTCTTTCTCTCTCCCTCTCACTACCACTGCTTTTTTTATTATTTTTTTTTCAAAGCCCCATTAAATGTTACTCAGGCTACAACCCCCACCTTCCCCAGATAATTATAATTCCCCCCCCCCCCCCCATCCCTCAAGGGAACAGTAGCAGCCACTTTGGGAAATAGTGTTCTAGCTAGCAGGCAGGTAATTGGGGTCCAAGTAATTATAATTAGCTTTGAAGTATCCCATATAATCGGAGTCAAGGCCAGCATGCCTGAACGGATGTAAGCGATGACTGGGGTCGTGCCGGTCTCCTTGACATGACCTGAAACATCCAAACAGTGTCAGACATCAGTGATCTTGATGTTACCGTCATTCAAGCAATGTCACACAGCACTGGTCTCAATCACTTAAGCATTGTCACAAAGCTATATTTATTTTAATCATTCCAACAATGTCACACAGCTTTAGTTAGTTCGATCATGCCAACAATGTCACACAGCTTTAGTTAGTTCGATCATGCCAACAATGTCACACAGCTTTAGTTAGTTCGATCATTCCAACAATGTCACACAGCTTTAGTTAGTTCGATCATGCCAACAATGTCACACAGCTTTAGTTAGTTCGATCATTCCAACAATGTCACACAGCTTTAGTTAGTTCGATCATGCCAACAATGTCACACAGCTTTAGTTAGTTCGATCATGCCAACAATGTCAAACAGCTTTAGTTAGTTCGATCATGCCAACAATGTCACACAGCTTTAGTTAGTTCGATCATGCCAACAATGTCACACAGCTTTAGTTAGTTCGATCATGCCAACAATGTCACACAGCTTTAGTTAGTTCGATCATGCCAACAATTTAAAGACATGGGATTTTCTCAGTCATTCAAATAATGTAGAACGTGGTTTTCTCACTCATTCAAACAATGTCAGGACAGCGAGTTTTCTCAGTCACTCACATAATGTCTGATGGTGGTTTTTTTTCAATAAATTAAACAATGTCAGGACAGTGGGATTTTTTTTTTCAGCATAAGATCATCAGTATGTGTGTACACGCTGTTGCTAACAGACCAAAGAGCAGACAAGAACTACTGACACTGAGAACTAATCCTGGACAGGTGTGACATTGCCTGGATGGTGACAGCTGGATTATTGCAAGTCTGCTGAACTCAATGACTGCCTTCTCAACTTTAGCAGAAGGCCGTGTCTGAGGTGGCACCCAAAGTAATACCTCCTTGGCAATATCCAAAATGGAAACAATGAAATGTGAGATCAGCAATCTTGAAAACAGTAACCAAGGTTAAGCTGAATGAAAACTGTTGGTCACGTGATACAATCAACTGGCTGTCTGTATCTGCAATCAACAAGCAACCTGACACACTCCTGGTGGTGTGAACAACTAAAACACATTCAGGATGAAGGCATGAGAGTCAACAGTCCCTTCTTCCTTCTATGACGATGCCAATACTTAAGGTTGTATTGATTTTATTTGGGCGTATACTATCTCTGGCCAAAGTCTGTGTGTATGAACAGCTGACAAACACCAGCTTCTACAAGATAAGCACTAGGGGGAAAAGATGTCGATGAGTAGGATCCTCGCTGACATAAGTACAGGGTTACTATAGTTGAACATGTACAAAGTGAGGGTGTAAGAGAAGACACACACACACACATATATATATATACATATATGTATATATATATATATATGTGTGTATATATATATATATATATATATATATATATATATATATATATATATATATATATATATATATATATATATATATCTATATATATATATATATATATATATCTATATATATAAAAATCAATGTTTGTGTGTTTGTTTCACCCCTATAGACTCGGAAACTACTGAACCGATTTAGCTGAAATTTTCAGGATATGTTTGTTGTGATACCGGATTTTGAACTGTCGTGGTTTGAAATTCAACCTGTCACTGTTAGTGATAGGTGACCACAATATATGCCAAAATATACGCAACTAATATTTATAACTTTAGTGATTTCTAATTATAGCCACGTTAGTAATTGCGCATGCGCCGTATTTACCATTCGCCGGCGAGTTATACGTGCAGCCAACGCCTTCTCTAATACTAATACATAGAGTAGGTCGTGGTACAGCAAACAAGACTATCTCTATATTTGCCACAATAACCATATTAAACACGATTTCTATTTTCTGTTTTTTTTTCTTCAAACAACCTTCGATGGGGGGTGGGGGGGGGGGGGGGGGGCAATCAAGAAGGACTATCTCGACATCGGCGCAGACAGTGACTGCGACAATAACCGTGTTAGACACGTGCAATTTCTATTTCATTAATATATCTGGAGTATCTGTCTACGAGAAAACAATTGCCTGCGGTTTTGAATTGTGTTTTAATCGCGACACAGTAGTATGGACTCACATGTCTAATAGTTGAGTTCTCTTTTCGTTGTTCCGATTAAATGGTTGCTTGGTCGAATGGTTAGAACACTGGGTTCATGTGCGGTAGACCTGGGTTCGAATCCGCAGTCGTTAAATTTATTTTTTGCCCCGGACTTAAATAATATCCTCATCTGCTCTGCCGTGGTGACAGCACTAGCCATGTTGCCTTAATATAAAAAAAACAAAAAAAAAAACAAGTAAATGGGTAAACCATTTGATAATTAAATTTGACCATTTCGCATACTTATGATTGCATTGTTAAACTTTCCGATTGCATGGTTACGCTGAAATTTTTATAGATTTGCATTTAGATTTAGTTATTTCATCTGTGTTGGAATTTTAAGCTGTGCTGTTTACAATGGCGTTCATTTCCTAATTATGGTGTTTTTTTCCTGTGTTCGTTTGCTTTTCAAGTGTTTTTTTTTTTCTTTCTCCCAACTACTTCAATGAGGGAAAGAGCTGTCGATGAATTTGGGGGGAGGGGGGGGGGGCAAACTATTAACTGAGAGAGTTTTAAGTCACAGTAACTGCTTTACCCACTTAAAGTAGCAGCAGCAGTAATAGTTGTTACACCAGGGCTGTTACATCATAGTGCTCTCATGTGAAGACCGCCGGTAAGGTTATGGCGTTCTTCTGTCGGCAAGTGAAATTATACATCCTAACCTGACCAGTCTGTGGCGACAGCACTAGCCATGCGGAACCAAATCTTCTGGCTCACGACTCTCTGTCTACTCCGATGGTAACACAGATAGCAGTGACATTATTTTAGTAGTTGTACTGGTACTTGAAGGATGATATGGTAAATATTACCCTAGCCCTATTCACTACCTTTTACAATTCCTGCTCCCTATTTTAGTCCAGATGGACAGGGATGTCAATGTCAGTTACAGCAACAACAAAATATCGCCAGTTAGTGATTTTCAAATCCTTCGAAGAGGGAGAGAGCAGTAGTTGGTGGAAGAGGGGAGAGGGTGATGACTTAAATTTAAGAGAAATTAAAGAGCTTTACACTTGATTTTCAAGTTCTCATTGCCTAATTTGTTTATATTTTACTAACGCTACCTCCGCTTTTCTATTTTTTTACGACTTACTTTGTTATTCACAAGTACAGTTGTAGCTTTACTTCCGTCCACTATAAAAATACAAACAGCTTTAGCATGTGATAACCAAATAACCATTTTTGTTACTGTGCTAATAACCCCATTTAAACGACCACTAATATAAAAACACAATTATAAGGTGCGTGTTCTAAAGTTGGAAAACCAGACTATCGCTATATCCGTGCAGAGAATGATTGCGACATTAACTGTATTAGACACGCGCGATTTTCATTGTCTTTCTTTTCCAAAAACCTTTGATGAGGGAGATAGTAGTAGGTGGATTTAGTTGTGGTGGTGGGCGGGGATCAAAAACTATCTCTGTATCTGAGCATACAATGATTGTATTAGACACGTGCGTTTTCTATTTTCTTTCATTTCCATTTAGCCAAACTATGCCACAGCAACGCGTGGCCGGGTACAGCTAGTATATATATATATATATATATATATATATATATATATATAAGGATGAGAGCGGAGCCTCTGAGAAAAAAGAGACTAAACACAAATGCTGACAATAACAGTCCTGAAATCCCATGCTAAAATTGTGGAAGACTTCTCTTAAGGTGATGCTAACATTTTGAAACTAAATTGTATACTATTAATTTCTACATTCTGGTATGGTGCAGGGTTTTATATTGAAGACCTCAGATAAAAAAATGGTTGCCATGAAAACCAAGAAAAACAACGGCTATATTGGAATTCTTCGGACAGGTCTAAAACCACCTCATAGTGCAATATAAAACTATCGTCTGGAAAGAGGGCAAGGTGCCAGTGATGAATATATGTGTGTCTGTCTGTCTGCGTGCGTGCATATGGTATGTATCCTAAAGATGTTTCTTTGGCCTGTATGCTTGATACATGTATCTATGAGCATCAGCTACAACTTGTATCATTACAAATGTATTAAAACATGAATCAATAAAACAAATGTATTAAAACATGAATCAATAAAACAAATGTACTGAAACATAAATTAAAAAAAAAATGTAATTAAAATACGAATCAATAAAGCAAATTTACTGAAAATGAATCAATAAAACAAAGGTAATTAAAATATGAATCAATAAAACAAATGTACTGAAAAATGAATCAATTAAACACATGTTATTGAAAAATGAATCAATAAAATTTTTTTTACTGAAACATGAATCAATAAAACAAATGTAATTGAAGAAAACAAAAACTCACATATGACAGCAGTCACCACAGAAATCTAATGACATCTCCGCTGGACAATCAATGCAGTGCCACCTGGTGCCTATGATAGGTTCACAGCAACAATTATCACACTGAAACAGGAAACCAGTTTCATGATGATACTTCTGCTACCAGTTTCATGTACGCTACAGTATAAATAAAAAAACAAATGAGCTGTCTCTGTAAATCTGCTAGCAAGAAAGTCAGCATAGTCTACCACATACTCCCCTCTATCATTTGCATCTCCGAGAGTCAGATTTCAGCTCTTCAGTTGCATCTGTTGAGTCAACTCTGGCAAACTGTGAATGCCACCTGTCTCTTGGGTTCTATTAAGGTTTTTTCACCCCATCTTGTTCGGTGTGACATTTCGTAGGGAATTCTGTAGGACAGTACTACAGTCTAGGGTTAGTCTGCTATTTATTCAACACTAATGCTGAAATACTAAAACTCCTATATTCTTGGCATGTCCTATTTTGATTGTTTTCAATATTGTTATCTCAGTATTCCTGCATGTAACCCTAACTCTAACATTGACCCTAACACCCTTACATCCTTCTTAGGACGTTATTTTTTGTTATTTGAAGCCCCACTCTGGCTTTATAGGCAGGCCATCAATATGGCGGTTTCTGGGACCTCTCCATGGTGATCCTCATCCGCATGGTGGCACTTTGTGTCATCGGGTGTTATCGCTTGTGTGATGTCCTAGGTAGAAAGTCAGTCATTGACCCTAACCTCAATGCTTGAACAATCATTCACAGAAAAGATAGTTGCTGACTTCTGTGTGGGAGACAATGTGGCAACCTAGTCAAATGAAGCTGAGACACTTGTCAGCATGCTGCCTATACACCATGACCATCTGCAACTAGTTGCAGACGGTCGTGTAAATGCTGAACAAAGGCCCTAGAACATAAACTCCTAGACTGGAGGACAGTCCTGGGGAATTCCTTTGAAATTTTGTGCGTGACAAAATGGGGTGAAAAACTTGAATAGAACTGTCTCCTGTACCAGGACCTAGTCTCAATTATGATTCATAACGAATCAGAGACAAGAATGCTCTATTTGTGTATTGATATTAACCCTTTTGCTGCTATGGACGTCTTTTCACGTTTTTCCATACGCTGTTACGCCTGTCTTTGGATGTTATTTTTTTTCTTGACCCCTAGTGCTATGGCGATACCAACCCGTTTTTTGACTTTCCTGACAGATTTCTGTGACCTCTTGTCTCAGGAGCCAAAGGGCAATATACATTAGCTATATTTAGATTCAACTGACCCATTTACATATGATTAAAAGCACTGGCATGTGCATTTTTGTGTGTTTAAGGTGTGTTTACTGTATTCTGCGTTCTCCTGTCGCTTTGTTTACCGTGACAGCGTGGTCGGTGATCTGAGTATTTTGTGCCCTGATATATATTTGTGGGTTTTTGTTATTCTACACTTCGTTAGCACTAAATGGCAAGAAAACTTAAAAAAGTTGACGAAGAATTGATGGAGTTTCTGTCAAGGAGTGATAGCGAAGATGACTCTGAAATGTATTTCTGACAGTGAACAAAAAGATCTGATTAGGCCATCAATATCATCCAACCGGCGTGTCCAAGAAAGAGCTGGTTGCCTGTCCGACGCCCTCATCATCGGAATCAGAGAGCAGCGACAATGAAGTGCCATCAATACGGCAAAGACTGATCGGCTGTTTTGGTCAACTGATGATTTGATATCAGTAGTGCATAATTTTGCTCTGGCTGTATTTCTGCTACTGACAATTCAAACAGTTCAGCGATTGATTTTTTTTTCCCACGGAATCCCCGATGACTTTCATTGCAGCAAAAACTAACCATGACTTTCATTGCAGCAAAAACTAACAGGTTCTGCAAGGAAGTAATTGAGAAGGCACCAGCCACTAAAAGTTCTCGTCTTTCCCAATGGACAGACACAGATGTGGACGAACTATTTTGTTTTTTTGCTGTCTGCCTGCTAATGCTTAGAACAAAGAAACTCAGAATAAATGAGTACTGGAGCAAAGACTGTTTGCTAAAAACTCCCATGTTTAGTGAAATAATGTTGAGGGACAGATTGTTACTATTGTTGAGAATGTTACAAAAGTGCGCGCTAAACGCCTCTGATGACGTGTGTTCACTGTGCGTCAGCGGTCTTCATCTTTGCTGCGTCTGGTTGCAGCAGTCTTCATCTTTGTTTGCCGCTCGTTCCAGCCATGAATTTTCTACAATTAGTTGCATCTGTACAAGACAAAGAGACCAGCACTGCCTTCCTGCAACAGCATGGCATTCTGCACAGAACGAGAAGTTGCAGAATCAATCATCAGATGCTGCTATTGCTGTCTGAAAGACACGACTGTTGGCGGTGTCGAAAGTACACCTGTTGTCTGGACATACCAGTATGGCAAGGAACATGGCTGAAAGGGTTGCGTGGCTCCCGTACAGACAGATCATTCTGTTGATATACTGCTGGTCTCACAAGATGACAAGCATTACATTTTGCCAAGCAGAGCTGAGCATGTCGCCGACCGCAACTGTGGAATGGAGCAACTACTTATGGGAGGTTTGTGTCAATACACTGTTATTAAATCCTGTTGAAATTGATGAAAGTCTGTTTGCAAGACGCAAAAATCATGTGGGAGTGTGTTTCCACAACAGTGTGTCTTCTTCGGAGTCTGTCGGGAGACGGGCGAATGCTTTCTGTTCTGTGCCCCAGACAAAAAAATCAGAGTTGCTTCTGCCGATCATTAGTGCAAACATAAGACCCGGAACGACAGTAGTTTCCAAATGTGGTGTGCACACAATGGAATTGAGAATATTCTTGGATTGACGCATCTTACCGTCAATCACTTCATTAATTTTGTCGACCCTACCACAGGTGCCCATACGCAATGGATCGAACGTTTTTGGAGGTCGGCAAAGGAAAAAATCAAGCGCCAGAATGGGACCTACAGACATTTATTAGAATCTTACATGTGTGAGTTTTTGTGGCGCAGGCTCGCTTAACGTGCGGGGGGAGAGGGGGAACTGTTAGCGACCATTCTGGCAAACATTGTCAGATTCACTAGTCCGTCGTCTCTGCTGCTGCCACAGTCCAAACTCTGTCCAGATGTAGTAACGTGTAAAAATGCTGAGATTGTCAATTTGTGCATGAACACAGCAGTATACATCTAGAATGATTGCCCCCCCCCCCCACAGTACTCCAATTGACAATTCCTGTGACTGCAAATAAAGTTCACATAGCCAAAGTGTAAAATTTACATTAACCAAAAAGAAAAAAATTTACATTTAATAAAAAAATAAAAATAAAATTTACCACACACAAAAAAAAACATGGAGGGATTGAATGCGGCACCTTTCATTTATAAGGCGGATATGATACTAACTACGCTACATATTCACATGACAAAATGATATGAAAATATGACGAGTATTGAAAACTGGGCAATTGCGCATCAACAAGCAGCCGATTGTGCACCAACAGACAGATATATGCCACACCAAAAAACACAACAAGAGAAACAACAGCACACTTGCACCCCTTGAAATAGTGGACTGTCTAGTCAGCTGTGGAATTCCCATGGATTTCCTCTGTTTGGGGTTAGTATTAAATAATGCACCCATTTTTATATTGATATACAAGACATCAGAGTCAATGATGCTGTATTTGTATACTGGTACACAAGACAGCAGAGACAAGAATGCTGTATTTGTATGCTGATGCATAAGAGGATCCATACCAACACACATCTTGTGTTGGTATATGGACTGGATGTAAAGTGCTGTGACAAATACAACACATGATGGATGAGATGATATTTGAAAACTCTCACCTTATAACCAATGTGTTGTACAAGACTTGGGTGTTCTTGTGGTTGTTTATCTCTTTTGATCTTCAGCAGTTGTTGTAATTCCTTGTATTCTGGACAGCTGCGTATTTCCTCTGGGTACTGTTCGTCTTCCTGAAGTTAATAGGAAACTTCACAATCATCGATATATAGAGTAATCATAGAGACAGTACACACTAAACAACAGATAGCAGGAGCTACAGCCACATATAGACAATGGAAAAAAGGGGCTACTGTTCAACAATAAACAACAGATGGCATGTGCAACCTCTACACACTAAATAACATAAGAACGGTCTACCTTAACATACTAAACAAAAGATGACATGTGCTACCTCTTTACATTAAACAATTGATAAGTGCTACCACTATACTCTAAACAATAGATATCATGGGCTATGGCTAAACACTAAACAACAAATGAGATGTGCAACATCTACACACTAAACAACAGATGAAAGAGTCTACTTCTACATAATAAAAAATATGACGGGCTACCTCTACACACTAAACAAAAGATGACATGTGCAATCTCTACACACTAAACAACAGATGACATGGGCTACCTCTACACACTAAACAACAGATGACAAAAGCTACCTCTACACAATAAACAACAGATGACAAGGGCTACCATTACACAATAAACAACAGATGACAAAGGCTACCACTAAACAACAGATGACATGGGCTACCACTACACACTAAACAACAGATGACAAGGGCTACCATTACACACTAAACAACAGATGACATGGGCTACTTCGATACACTAAACAACAGATGACAAAGGCTACCTCTACACAATAAACAACAGATGACATGGGCTACCTCTACACACTAAACAACAGATGACATGGGCTACCACTACACATCAAACAACAGATGACATGGGCTACCACTACACAACAGATGACATGGGCTACCACTACACACTAAACAACAGATGACATGGGCTACCACTACACACTAAACAACAGATGACAAGGGCTACCACTACACACTGAACAACAGATGACATGGGCTAACTCTTTACACTAAACAAAAGATGAAAGGGGCTACCTGTATATACTAAACAAATTACATGCAATCTCTACAAACAAAACAACTGTTGACATGGGCTAACTGTACATACTAAATACTACCTCTTAATACTTAACAACAGATGACATAAGCACCATCTACACACTAAACAACAGACGACATGGACTAACCCTACAAACTAAACAACAGATGACATGTGCTACATCCACACATGAAAGAGTTCCGGTTAAAATGGACGCTAGACAGCGGCGCTGTTCGAAGCAGAGGCAAATTTGTTGCTTCTGCCGGACGGTGGCCAAAGTATTTTTGCTCCATTTGTAGACAGGATATAGTTTCGTCGCCCAGCTTCTGAGTTGAATGCATGGCGTGACCCTGTGAGCTGCGGATTGCATTTGGAATGTATTTTCGACTGTAACCAACGTGGTGGTGTGAATTGAAGATTCAGAAAATGGCGTGATGCCGGTCGTGCAATGTTGGCGGTGCCCGTATGTGATTACAATTGATCGCGTGGGCAACTGCTGATCTGTTGGCGACAAGTTCTGCTATCATCTAATGTTGGACTGTTTGTGCTAGCACTTCAGATGGCTACCGTATGCTTTAATGCGAGTGTATGCTAGATATGCTGAGACAGCAGTCTGTCAATCTTTCCACAAGGGACTGTGATAAACATTCTGAGTGTTTTTCGTTGGCACAGGAGCGGAGCAAAGATGGGGCGACCCGTTTGCTATGAAGCTGAAACTAAGACTACCAGACCATGAAAGAATTAATTATTAGGGCTACCTCAACAAACAAGACAATAGATGACATGGGCTACCTCTACACACTGAACAACAGATGACATGTGCTACATCTACACATGAAGGAATCAATTATAAGGGCTACATCAACAAACAAGACAATAGATGACATGGGCTACCTCTACACACTGAACAAGAGATGACATGTGCTACATTTGTACATAAAAGAATTTACGATATGGGCTACCTCAACAAACAAGACAAAAAATGACATATGCTACCTCTACACACTAAACAGATTACATGGGATACCTTTACATATTAAACAACAGATGACAGGCTACCTAATCAGTGACATCACTGTCTTTGTGTGACTAGTGACATCACTGACAACTGTGTGTGACTAGTGACATCAATGGGAACTGTGTGTGACTAGTGACATCACTGAGAACTGTGTGTGACTAGTGACATCACTGAGAACTGTGTGTGACTAGTGACATCACTGACAACTGTGTGTGACTAGTGACATCAATGGGAACTGTGTGTGACTAGTGACATCACTGAGAACTGTGTGTGTCTAGTGACATCACTGAGAACTGTGTGTGACTAGTGACATCACAGAGAACTGTGTGTGACTAGTGACATCAATGGGAACTGTGTGTGACTAGTGACATCAATGGGAACTGTGTGTGACTAGTGACATCAATGGGAACTGTGTGTGACTAGCGACATTAATGGGAACTGTGTGTGACTAGTGACATCACTGAGAACTGTGTGTGACTAGTGACATCACTGACAACTGTGTGTGACTAGTGACATCAATGGGAACTGTGTGTGACTAGTGACATCACTGAGAACTGTGTGTGACTAGTGACATCACCGAGAACTGTGTGTGACTAGTGACATCAATGGGAACTGTGTGTGACTAGTGACATCACTGAGAACTTTGTGAGACTAGTTACATCACTGAGAATTGTGTGTGACTAGAGACATCAATGGGAGCTTGTGTGACTAGTGACATCAATGGGAACTGTGTGTGACTAGTGACATCAATGGGAACTGTGTGTAACAATTAACAATTTTCTGACCAACTTCGCAGATCTGCAAATTTTGGGTCTTATTCTGATGACCAAATTTGCCGATCTGCAAATTCACGACATGTTGCAAACAGGCAGCCATGCGGATTGTTTGTGAACTGGACTTCATCCTGGCATTTTTATTATTCGAAAATAGCTGTGTCTACAATCGATTTCACTTTAAGCCATTACAAGCATTGTTTTCAGTAGAATTTTGATAATTTTCATTACCAGCGCATATTCAGTCTTTTTGTCATGTTTGATGTTGAAAACTAGACCAGAAGTATTGATGATTTGAAATCTGCTAGCGAATTTAGCACTGAAAACAATAATTCTTGGATAAGTATAGATACACTAGTGAATATTATCGTCATATCCCAACCGAACAATGATGAAAGACTTGATGATGGAGGTGATGTAGGAACATCTGAAGAAAGAAGTGGGCGTGGCACAAGAGACCAGAACATTTCTACAGCTAAAAATGCTGTTTGTAAATGGAGAAAGGCTGCTCAAAATCAACTTGTTAAGCTTGACAATCTTCCTGCATACAAAGAACAACAAGGTGCCATGTCAGACACAATTGGGTGTGCGGAGATTGATTTTTTGAAGAAAACCCAACTGAAACTGAAAAAGGCAGATTGTCCTGGTTTGTGTGACAAAATATAAAGGCATGTTGGCTGTTACCTGTCACGACACTGATATCCACTGTTTACCTCATTGGTGTTACAGACAAGACAGGAAAAGTGGAATTCTTGAGGACAGAATAATAAATAAGCCAGTTCTTGAAGAAAAATTCAAGAACAGTATGGTGGCTGTCAATCACTTCAGCCAGCAGGTTGCTGACTACCCCTACCCATCTAGATCCTGTGATTGGTACCTGCCATTATATTATTTATTTATTTTTAGTTGACACTGCTGTGGTCAATGAGCATATAAGCTACAACACTACCAACTCTTGTGTATAAGGTCACAGCCAAGAGATTCAGCCAGGATGTCAGTCTTGCTGTTAGTAGACCTGCTGTTCTGCAGTACATTGTAACACCTTCAAGATCACACGTCACAACATCATGACTTACTGAGGGCCATTAAAAAAAGAGATGAAAGCCATGGTACAAACCAGACTGTAAATTGTGTAAAGCTGCACGTAAAAGAAGCTAGACTTTCATATTCTGCCCAGATTGCAATACAACTCTTGCTCGACACCGTGTTTCAAGTTATAGCACATGGTTGAGGATTATCAACATTCCAGACAAAGACAAAGGGCTACAGCTTCAACTCCATTTAATGAAGAAAGTAGCTCAGACTTCAACTTGAGGTGCTTTATTAGTCAAGCATTCACATATGCTGATTGTAGCATGACAAATAAACACAATAAACGAAAAAACAATTTCACTTTATTCCAATTTTTATGCACTTTTCACATTAAAATATTTGGTAAATCGTAAAAAATGTGCTCATATTTAGCTAATTTTATTTATCGTCAACCATGTTCCCAACATGTTATTGCACTGATATTCACTAAGAACTGGAAAATGATTATTGTTTTAAAACATCTCCTTAAATTTCTATAAATAGGCAAATTCAAAATGGCCACCATAATCATGTGACATAATTGCATAATATATCTTTTTTTTTCATGTGTAGCAACCTTCCTTAATGATGCTCTGAAAAAAAATCTCTAAACACCCTTGGTGATGGGAGACAGTTATGCCCGGATTGATGGTCAGGAAAGTGTTAACATCATTGAGGACTGTGTGACTAGTGACATCACTGGGGACTGTGTGACTAGTGACATCATTGAGGACTGTGTGACTAGTGACATCACTGGGGACTGTGTGACTAGTGACATCACTGGGGACTGTGTGACTAGTGACATCACTGGGGACTGTGTGACTAGTGACATCATTGAGGACTGTGTGACTAGTGACATCACTGGGGACTGTGTGACTAGTGACATCACTGGGGACTGTGTGACTAGTGACATCACTGGGGACTGTGTGACTAGTGACATCATTGAGGACTGTGTGACTAGTGACATCACTGAGGACTGTGTGACTAGTGACATCACTGAGGACTGTGTGACTAGAGACATCACTGAGGACTGGGTGACTAGTGACATCACTGGGGACTGTGTGACTAGTGACATCATTGAGGACTGATTGACTAGTGACATCACTGAGGACTGTGTGACTAGTGACATCACTGAGGACTGTGTGACCAGAGACATCACTGGGGACTGTGTGTGACTAGAGACATCACTGGGGATTGTGTGACTAGTGACATCACTGGGGACTGTGTGTGACTAGTGACATCACTGGGGATTGTGTGACTAGTGACATCACTGGGGATTGTGTGACTAGTGACATCACTGGGGACTGTGTGTGACTAGTGACATCACTGGGGATTGTGTGACTAGTGACATCACTGGGGATTGTGTGACTAGTGACATCACTGAGGACTGGGTGACTAGTGACATCACTGAGGACTGTGTGACTAGTGACATCACTGAGGACTGTGTGACCAGAGACATCACTGGGGACTGTGTGTGACTAGAGACATCACTGGGGATTGTGTGACTAGTGACATCACTGGGGACTGTGTGTGACTAGTGACATCACTGGGCACTGTGTGTGACTAGTGACATCACTGAGGACTGTGTGACTAGTGACATCACTGGGGACTGTGTGACTAGTGACATCACTGGGGACTGTGTGACTAGTGACATCATTGAGGACTGTGTGACTAGTGACATCACTGAGGACTGTGTGTGACTAGTGACATCACTGAGGACTATGTGTGACTAGTGACATCACTGAGGCCTATGTGTGATAGCACAAAAACAATGTATACTCACGGATGAACCCTCCTGGAGGCTGGCCGTGTCTGACATAGCTAGGATATCTCCAGCACAACTATCTGGTCCCTGCTGTAGTTCGCACTCATCAACATCATCTTTCATCCACACTGGAGGGGTGTGGGACTGCAAGAACGTGGAGTGTGGGTAATAGAGTCTGTTGTAGCGATGATGTCTGTGAGAGCCCTGAACACAAATATTACAATCAAACATAAATGTACAATATAAAACAAACATCAATGTGTAACACAAGACAAATATCATTAAGAATAACAGAACCAAAAAAAAAAAACCCAGCTTATTAACCTCTGCTGACTCGCTGAAGTATTTGTGGCAGAAGTCCAGATTTTCTATGTGCTTTATCTCAGTTTTCCTTTTCTTTTAGGCTCATCATAGTTCTTCCAGATCACTCACTGCAGTTAGTAGCAAGGTTTTCTTGTCAGATGCTGAAACCACTTCATCTGTTACTGTTTGATTAGCTTAAAGCTGTTACATATGATTAATGTGTGTGACAAGTGACATAACTGAGGACTTGTGTGACAAGTGACATCACTGAGGACTTGTGTGACTAGTGACATCACTGATGACTATGTGTGACCAGAAAAATCACTGAAGACTTGTGTGACTAGTGACATCACTGAGGACTGTGTGCAACTAGTGACATCACTGAGGACTTGTGTGACTAGTGACATCACTGAGGACTTGTGTGACTAGTGACATCACTGAGGACTTGTGTGACTAATGACATCACTGAGGACTGTGTGTGATGAGTGACATCACTGAGGACTGTGTGACTAGTGACATCACTGAAGACTGTGTGTGACTAGTGACATCACTGAGGACTGAGTATGACTGGTGTTTTTAAAGCTGTACAATGAGTATACAACTGGAGCTGTGTGTGTGAGCTAACACATGTATACAACTGGAGCTGTGTGTAGTGAACATATGTATACAACTGAAGCTGTGTGTCACCTAACACATGTATACTACTGGAGCTGTGTGTCACCTAACACATGTATACTACTGGAGCTGTGCATAGTGAACATATGTAAACAACTGGAGCTGTGCATAGTGAACATATGTATACAACTGAAGCTGTGTGTTGCCTAACACATGTATACAACTGAAGCGGTGTGTTGCCTAACACATGTATGCAACTGGAGCTGTGTGTGAGCTAACAAATATACATTACTGCAGCCATAATGTGAGCTAACACATGCACATTACTGGTATTGTGTTTGAGCTAACACAGGTATACTACTGGAGCTGTATGTGAGCTAACACAGGTATACTACTGGAGCTGTATGTGAGCTAACACAGGTATACTACTGGAGCTGTATGTGAGCTAACACAGGTATACTACTGGAGCTGTATGTGAGCTAACACAGGTATACTACTGGAGCTGTATGTGAGCTAACACATGCATGCAACTGGAGTAGTGTGTGTACTCTTGTACTTACCTTGCTAGTCTACTACTGCAGCTGTGTTTCTACATTTGTATTTCTCTTGTTCATCTATTACTAGAGCCGTGTGTCTACATTTGTACTTGCCTTGTGTGTCAACTTTGGTACATGTCTTGTTAGTCAACTACTGGAGCTCTGTGCTACACTTGTACATGTTTATACTTGTACATGTCATGTCTTAACTACTCAAGTTGTGTGTCTACACTTGCATATGTCCTGTCTTAACTACTAAAGTTGTGTGTCTACACTTGCACATGTCCTGTCTTAACTACTAAAGTTGTGTGTCTACACTTGCACATGTCCTGTCTTAACTACTAAAGTTGTGTGTCTACACTTGCACATGTCCTGTCTTAACTACTAAAGTTGTGTGTCTACACTTGTACATGTCCTGTTAGTCAACTTCTAGACCTGTATCTACACTTGTACATGTCCTGTTAATCAATTACTGGAGTATCAATTATATTTCTGGGAAGTAAAAGTGGCTGGTATGATGCTGACCATATCAACTACCAAGTGCAGATTGATCTAAAAAATATAGGTCTAGCTTTATATGCTCCACACACTTGAAGGCAGGGACAACACACTTGAAGGCAGGGACAACACACTTGAAGGCAGGGACAACACACTTGAAGGCAGGGACAACACATTTGAAGGCAGGGACAACACACTTGAAGGCAGGGACAACACACTTGAAGGCAGGGAAAACAGTTGTTCATAATTGTTAACTTTATATTCACATATATAGCAACTGCACATAGGAGTGCAACAGTACAGGAGTGCAAAAATGGAACTTTGCTGTGAGAGAACAGTAACTGTCCTGTGAAAGGAAGGCAACAGATTTTGTGTAAGAGAACGGTAGCTGCCTTGTGAATGGGTAGGAAAAAGAAAAAAACTATATTCAAGTGTTGTAGTTGAAGAGCACCAAAGGAAGATGATTTTGTAGACATACCTTGCGAACATATGCAGCCAGGTTTGGTGTCCTCCCCGGGACAGGCAACCCTTCTCTGGCTAATTTCAGAAAATATTTCTGTACTCGACTGGCAACCTGTAATGATATTAGATAGAGAAATCCTCTGCACCATGTTTACAGATAAATCAATGTTTACAGATAAATCAATGTTTACAGATAAATCAATGTTTACAGATAAATGAGATCTTGCAGTCTGGTATCTGATGTTAGTTGACTGCCACAGACACCTTATCAAACCAGACTCAGCAACATACATGGCTGACTGTCCCAGACACTCCAAAAATCAGTCGAGAGCAACACACATGGCTGATGGCCTCAGATATTCCCTCAATCGAAACATAACACACATGGCTGATGGCCTCAGATATTCCCTCAATCGAGACATAACACACATGCCTGATGGCCTCAGATATTCCCTTAATCCAGACAATCAACACACATGGCTGATGGCCTCAGATATTCCCTCAATCGAGACATAATACACATGGCTGATGGCCTAAGATATTCCCTCAATCGAGACATAACACACATGGCTGATGGCCTCAGATATCCCCTCAATATAGACAATCAACACACATGGCTGATGGCCTCAGATATCCCCTCAATCCAGACAATCAACACACATGGATGATGGCCTCAGATATTCCCTCAATCGAGACATAACACACATGGCTGATGGCCTCAGATATCCCCTCAATATAGACAATCAACACACATGGCTGATGGCCTCAGATATCCCCTCAATATAGACAATCAACACACATGGCTGATGGCCTCAGATATCCCCTCAATATAGACAATCAACACACATGGCTGATGGCCTCAGATATCCCCTCAATATAGACAATCAACACACATGGCTGATGGCCTCAGATATCCCTTCAATCCAGACAATCAACACACATGGATGATGGCCTCAGATATTCCCTCAATCGAGACATAATACACATGGCTGATGGCCTAAGATATTCCCTTAATCGAGACATAACACACATGGCTGATGGCCTCAGATAGTCTATCATTTTTTTAGCGGAGAGGCAAGGAGCCAAGATTCTGCATACAAATAAGCCAGGTCTGTTGAATGGATGTGCAAAAAAATATCAAGTTGTGGGAGAAGATGAAAGTCCAGAGGTGGGTAGGCACCTCTTAGACTAGTTCTTCCCACAGTACACACTACGGCAGCCCAGGGGTGCTGGGGCAATGAAAGGGAAGGTAGTTTCATCCGTCAGATTTCAGGTGTGGTGGAATGGTGCAGCAACAATAAGAACCTCAGGTTCAGTTAGAGGCAATGGTTAAACATACAGCACACAAAGATGAAGTAGAGGACGGGAGAACACAATTTTCTTTCACTTTATCGGTTGAAACCGGGCAATTAAATCTAGTTGATACAGAAAATGGAAACAAACCTGTACTGGTGTTCTATTCCCAAGAGCAGCTGCAATTTTAGCCCACCTCTTAGACTCCACCTCCTCAGGAGGGAATTGAATCAGCAGACTCTCCAGTCTACAAATAGATGTGCAGCATTGGTTGAGGTCAAGAGCAGCAAGAAATGGGACAGGGAGCCCACCATATGCACCAGTTTTACACGCATGTAGACATATCTATTTATATACAAACACACACTTTTATTTAGCACACACATATAGCTATGTATAAATATATTCTGTGATCACACAAAACATCAGATAAGCTTCATGCATTTCAGACTGTTTACTCAGAATCAAAGCGACTAGTAGAGATGTTTGTGTTAGAGACATCATTCGCTACTGATAAATTATGTATAATAGCAGGAATGATGTAAGATCATGAATTTGAATTAAATATTTTAATTTACTGAGGGCGGACACGAGAAAATGTTGCCTAAAAAGAACGAAACATTTACCTGGGTGAAGTGAAAAGTTCAAAGATCACGAGCTTTGGGCAATCCAGAATGTGGGCGACATATTTAATTCCCTAGAAAGATCTAGCAGCCAGTCTCGTCTGGGTCAAGGAACTGTGCGCTTGTGAAGAGGAGAACATTTTGAATTATGTCTGACTGACAGCAAGCATCTATTTGATTTTAAGATTCCAATACCCAATCTGGCCAGAGTTCGACCTGCCATGTGCAGTAAGCTGTTTGTGTTGGCCCGTCAAGTAAAGTTGTCATTTTCAGCTGTGGTTGTGTGAATGGGCGCTTTTGTATTTGTCTGAAGGTATTGTTGTCTTTATTCAATGTGTTATGTATAATCACCTTGACTATGTTTATTCTTCACCATGTACCGGTCAAAGAATCAGCGACTGAGTGAACAATAAATATTGACAGCGCATCGTGTCGTTCATGTCATCCATTTTCACCTGCTGAGTTGACTGTCAGTGCACGGGCGAGAAGTCTGCAAGCGACTGGAGCCAAACTGTCAGTGCACGTGTGAGAAGTCTGCAAGCGACTGGAGCCAAACTGTCAGTGCACGGGTGAGAAGTCTGCAAGTGACTGGAGCCAAAATGTCAGTGCACGGGTGAGAAGTCTGCAAGCGACTGGAGCCAAACTGTCAGTGCACGGGCGAGAAGTCTGCAAGCGACTGGAGCCAAACAGAATGTAAACAGAGTCATTGCAGCTACCTGCTTCCTTTCTCCTGGAAACTCGAGTGATGAACAGGAGATCACCATCTGAGCCTCATTTGCTTCCTTTTTTCTGGCAACTGGAGTGATGAACAGATCCAAATCTGAATTTCACTTGCTTCCTTCTTCACTGTTACCCTAGTGATGAACTGACCATTGTCTCATCTCACCTGCTTCCTTATTTCTGGCAACCCTAGTGCATTTTTAGGAAGTATAGTTCAAACTCAACAGGCTAAAACCATACGTCGAAGACATATTGAGAGATTACCAAGCAGGTTTCCGAAAGAACAGATCAACAATAGATCAGATATTCATTTTACGACAAATAGCAGAACAAACCTGGGAATATAGAAGAGATGTACACAATGTTATTGTGGATTTTAAAAAGGCGTATGATAGTGTACATAGAAACAGTTTATGGAATGCTATGAATGACTTTGGAATACCAAAGAAGTTAATAACCATGACCGAACTATGCATGGAAGACACTTGTAATATAGTCATATAAAAAAGTAGAATGTCAGACCCCTTTTCAAATAAAATCTGGTTTAAAGCAAGATGATGCTCTGTCCCCACTTCTTTGCGACCTGGCCATGGAGAAAATTATAAGGAAACTGAAACAAGAGTGTTCTAAAGGAAAATCTACAAGAATACGTGGTTATGCAGATGACATTCATATCGTTGGAGAAATGTACTAGAGACTGTTAAAACACTGACTCTCTTAAAAAAATCAGCTCAGAAAATGGAACTAGTTATCCATCAGGATAAGACAGAATACATGATAATAACTGGACTGGGAAAGGATATAAACTCCAGCCACATACAAGTCATTAATCTTAAAATCAAACGAACAGAAATATATAAATACTTGGGTGAAAACTTCAACTGCTCCAACATGCTGAGAGAAGAAATACAATTTAGAATAAAATCTGGAAATAAAGCATACTATGTAAAACGCTTGGTGTCACCAACTGGAAAGAGACGGCCAACCAGACAGATGAATGGAGGCGGGTGATATCTGCAGCAATGAATCTCAAGGGCTCAGAATGCTGAAGACAAAGAAGAAGAATAGCTCCAACTAATTATAATGATAGGGAACGTAGAAATTAAGATAATCTGTATATTACTACAAATGATAATTATTTTCAGGATATCATTAGGGTGGAGGATATAAAATATACACTGTAAAAAGCAAAAAACGCTGCACCGGGGCAAAACGGAGTCAGGAATGCCCATATGAAGACCATGAGTGATAAAGACTTGAGGGATATGGCTTTTCCCTTCAACCAGAGCATCAAAACAGCTTCAGTACCCCAGGAATGAATACATAGCTATCTAATCCAACTCCCAAAACCAGGCAAAGATCATTCCAGACTCCACAGTTTCAGGATTATCACCCTACAAAATAATTTTGGCAAGGTGTTAGAGAAGATTATTGCTGTTACAAATGTTTTTGGAAAGGCAAAAGCTCCTGCCAAAAGGTTTAAGTAACTACTGGGCCAGGACAGATACCTAGTCCGATGCAGTTACTTTTGCTTTGGATATTAATGAGAAGTTTCAGAATAAAAACAAGATGGTAGTGGCAGCAACTGATCTTGAAGATGCCTATAATAAAGTCAGATACAATACTTCGAAAGCTGCACTCAATGAGAAAAGTGGCTGTCTCTTGCTGGTGAATCAGAAATTGCTGTCCTGGATTCACATTTGGTTTCCTTTCGCCTGGGTACATGGACCTCAGAACCATGTAATATCATCCTGGGACTACCCCAGGGTTCTGCAGTTTCACCAGTGCTCTTTAATATGTATACAAGCAAGATTGCAGAACTTGAATCACCAGGTTGTGGAAGGAGACATACTTGTGCAGATGATGTTCTTGCATACAGACAGGGGAGTGAAAGGCAACAGGCAGCCAAGAGCTATAGGCAACTATAGACAATGTGACCGACTGGTCTGCAGAGATGGGTCATCAACTCAGAAAAGGCAGCTATTTTTTTAATGCTCTCTGGACAAGAGAACTGCAAAAGCTAATGTTTCGAGCCTCGCAATTAATGACAGTAAACTGAGGTACCTGGGTATCATTTCTGATAGGAGCCTGTCCCTCAGAAATCAAGTTTATGGCAGCAATGGACATGGAGCAAAGAATGCTGTTCACAATGTTCCAGCGTGTGATCCTGTCGGCAATAGATTATGGACTGTGAATGCTTACCGTATCATGAGTCAGCTAATGAAACTTGAACACTGAAGCCATGCGGGTAATTCTGGGATGTACAAGAGATACCCTGGTAGTATGCATGCGATACATATTTGAACTGTCTACTACTGCAGATAGGCTATAAGTTCTGAAAGCAAAGTCATATCTCAGAGTAGCTGCAGACAAGAAGCACCTCCTACATGAAACTGGGTACAGCTAAGGGTTACAGACTGAAAGAGGAAGGTCTTGGATGGCGCAAGCTGAAGACACAGTTAGATGTGTGCAGGCTTGATGAATTTGGGTGAAGAGAGGAGTGGGTCAAAGTTTATGCGTAAGACTCATCAGACTTTTGTAGGGTCACTTTAGGTCGTGAGTGCAGGGACTGGCCAGATGGTGCTGCAGAACCAGAAGTTCAACAAATAATTCATGACAATTCCTGCCCAGGAGATGTGGTTACCCATACAATTGTCTCTGTGTTCAGAGGCAGATGAAGTGCTTCTGGCTTCACATCAAAATCGAATGGACTTAGCTGAGTGCCTGGCACATGATATCACAACATCTAGTTTGAGAATTGAGGTGGAGGTTGTCACTGCTGCCTTTTGATGGTCTGAGAATCAGCTGTACACACACATCATAATTGTAACTGACTCACAGATCATGTTAAGAAAGGTGAGGTCCTGGGTAGATATTTGAAATATTTTTTTCAAGTTGATGTTAGTGTTTTGCAAAATGAGCAGTCAAATAGACTGGCTGGTTTTGTCCCACTTGGTGGTAAACTAATGTATTACAAGCTAGATGCTGTAAAGACCTTTTGTGAGTTAATGAACAGTATGGAGAAACATTAGTCTGAGCAGAATGGCGCTGTGAAGAGTTAACATGGGGATCTATCTGACGCTCTACACTCAAGGGAAAGATGAGACAGAAACACAATCAGACAGTTATTGGTACTATCAAAACTGGAATTCTTGGCTTGGTGCTGAAGATAGAGACGGAGAATTTACGAAAGTGTCCTGAGTAAATTATTAATTCAGCATTCAACATTTGGCAACCCCAGCTACGAACAGATCATTTTTTAGTCTCCCTTGCTTCTTTATTGCTGGCAACCCCAGTGATGAACAGATCACTGTCTGAGTCTCCCTTGCTTCTTTATTGCTGGCAACCCCAGCTACGAATAGATCATTTTTTAGTCTCCCTTGCTTCTTTATTGCTGGCAATCCCTGTGATGAACAGATCACTGTCTGAGTCTCACTTGCTTCTTTATTGCTGGCAACCACAGCGATCAACTGGAGATTATCACCTGCATCTGAGTCACTTGTTTCAAATTCACACAATACCCACATGTTCTATTTTCTAAGACCCTTTTCTGCTGTTTTACACTGGGGAGTGAATGTGAAGCTGAGTAACCAAGAGTTTAATAAGCCAAACCTAGCAGATACTGATGAATGTCATTAAGAAATTAATTAATCATGGCTAAATGTTAGTTACAAGAATGTCCACTTATGCAGAGCAGAGAAAATGTGTTTCTTTTTGTCTCCATTTTGGTTTTAATAAGCTAAATTGTTTTTTGTTGTTGCAATGTTTTACTGACCTAAACAATGTTCTTGTCACTGATGTTTTCCCCAAGTTGCACCCTTATTGGTGTTGCGCCTCTTGAACAAATTGTCAGCAAGAATATATATATGACACATTTACCTTTGTTGCTCTTCATCTGTCCACAGCTGATTGAAGGTGGATGGTTTGGAGTTATCTCTTGCCCTTCCTCTTACAACCAAGACATCTAAATCTGAGCTCACAGCAGAATCCGCTGTACTTGCACATGTTAGAGGATCACTGTTTTGGATCACTTCTGAATGAATTCCTTTAATTGTATCAACTGAAAGGTAAACGATGACAGGAGTGTCAAAATAGATGTAACGCACAGACTCAAATTAACCTGCAGGCCATGAGCACTTCTGTGACTACCTGCTTAACCAACAAAATGTCTGTAAGATCACAACTCTATACATGTCTACACCTATGAAATGTCTGTAAGATCATGACTCTATCACAACTCTACACACATCGCCACCTACAAAATGTCTGTAAGGTCACTACTCTATATACATCTACAAAATGTCTGTAAGGTCACAACTCTATATACATCTACAAAATATCTGTAAGGTTACAACTCTATGCACATCTACAAAATATCTGTAAGGTCACAACTTTACAAACATCTAAAAAAAAAAAGTCTGTAAGATCACAATGTGACAAAATACCTGCATCTACACACAGTCTCTGTAAAACCTAAGATCATAATGTGACACAATACCTGCCCTTACAGAGTATCTGTAAGATGTACGATCAGAAATGACACATTAACTGTCCTTACAGAGTATCTGTAAGATGTACGATCACAAATGACACATTAACTGTCCTTACAGAGTATCTGTAAGATGTACGATCACAAATGACACATTAACTGTCCTTACAGAGTGTCTGTAAGATGTACGATCACAATATGACACAATAACTGTCCTTAGAGAGTGTATATCAGATCACAATGTAGGACACGCCTACACCTACAGTGTGTCTGTCAGATGTACGATCACAATGTAGGACACGCCTACACCTACAGTGTGTCTGTCAGATGTACGATCACAATGTAGGACATGTCTACACCTACAGTGTGTCTGTCAGATGTAAGATCACAATGTAGGACATGCCTACACCTACAGTGTGTCTGTCAGATGTAAGATCACAATGTAGGACATGTCTACACCTACAGTGTGTCTGTCAGATGTAAGATCACAATGTAGGAAACGCCTACACCTACAGTGTGTCTGTCAGATGTAAGATCACAATGTAGGACATGCCTACACCTACAGTGTGTCTGTCAGATGTAAGATCACAATGTAGGACATGCCTACACCTACAGTGTGTCTGTCAGATGTAAGATCACAATGTAGGAAACGCCTACACCTACAGTGTGTCTGTCAGATGTAAGATCACAATGTAGGACATGCCTACACCTACAGTGTGTCTGTCAGATGTAAGATCACAATGTAGGACATGCCTACACCTACAGTGTGTCTGTCAGATGTAAGATCACAATGTAGGACACGCCTACACCTACAGTGTGTCTGTCAGATGCAAGATCACAATGTAGGACATGCCTAGACCTACAGTGTGTATGTAATCAAAATATCACATAGTGCCTGCCCATTAAGTTCCCAGGCCCCTTAGTGACTATGTATTGTGGTCCCTATTCTCACCACAATGAAATTAATGACTTGGACTGATGCACAAGATATCTTCAGTATCAAACATCTGATCTTTGCTTGTGCCTTGCAGCATCAGAATCCAAGTATTACTCTGGAGCTAATCTAGTATACAACTCAGATACTTTATTCTTTGCTTTTTGTTGTTGCTTTGATGCCTTTGTTGGTGTTGCTTTTTTAAAGCAGGGATGGCGCTTTGTCATTTCTCCAATGCCCCCATTTTTCTTCACAACTTTCTTGTCCAGAATATTCTGGTCATTTATCCATCAACCACAGCTTGAACGACCCCCCCTCCCCCCCCCCCCCCGCCACTAAATTCTATACAACTTCATGTACAGTAATCACATCCATTTACAAGATCAGATCTCATTCAGTGGTTTCTTATGCTTGCCTCAATAACATTTCTGAGTTTCATTATGCTTCTGTACCTGTGTCCTATCTTTCATTGGGGCTGAGTGGTCTTGAGGCAAGGTGTTCGCTTCAAGTGCTGGAGGTTCAAGCCCCGGTAAAGGCTGGGATTTTTTAAACGCGGACTTCTAGTAATTTCCCCTAGTTTCTGGGTAGTAAGACTGGATGTCTGTGTGTACTGAAAAGCACATACAAAAAATTCTTTGGCAGTTGGAAATTGGAAAGAGTAGCCTAACGACCTCGCCCTGGCACAATTTTAAGTTAAAATATACCCAAAGTAGTTCAGGATTATCGCCAGTGCTATAGAGTTCCTACACTGCACTGAGATTCTTTAGACAGGCATGAGTAAGAAGTAGAACGGAGCACTTATGGGTTACTATGCTTGTGCCATGATGTTGGTTTGTTGTTCAAACCATCTTTCAATGGTGCCATCACATTGCCCAAACATGTACAGGTATTTGATTAAACAGACTTACCTGTTTGATTACTACACCTTTCATATACAGATATTTCAGTACACATAATGCATGCTAGTATGTGTATGTGACAATCCAGTGATTGACTTCAACAACAAGCTAAACTGATAACATGAAGTAGATCAATGTAACCAACCTTCAGCACCAGTTGTGCTTCTCTTGTTCCTGGTCATATGCCGAGAAGTCACAAACGAAGAGAACAGTGCACCACTGGTGTATTTATCCCATTGTACATCAGGCAGAGATGCCAGTTTCTGAGCTTTGGGAAAACAGAAATCTGTGCCTTGTTGGAGTTTTCCCACAAACTTCAAGGGATCTGCTAAAGCTTCATCTTGTGCTTTATAAAGGAGTTCAATATCTTCAGCCGCCTGCTGCCTCTGTGCCTCTAGAACTGCTATAGTGTGAAGCAGGTTACGATAGTCCTGGTTCTCCTTCAAAGCTACGTGATCTGTTTCAAAGTAGTAAGGTTCACTGATCTCTTCATAGCCAAGCCCATGTGTCTCCATTCTGGACCCACCAAATGTCAAGGCGAGATCAGCCTCTGAGTGAAATAAGAGAAGAAGTATGCAGTAGGTCCGGACTGATTACAGAAATGTCAGAAGTCTGGGTTCAGTAGGCTGGGACTGATGATTCTAATGTCTAAAGTAAAGGTATGCAGTAAGCCAAGACTAATGATTCTAATGTCCAAAGTAAAGGTATGCAGTAAGCCAAGACTAATGATTCTAATGTCTAAAGTAAAGGTATGCAGTAAGCCAAGACTAATGATTCTAATGTCTAAAGTAAAGGTATGCAGTAAGCCAAGACTAATGATTCTAATGTCTAAAGTAAAGGTATGCAGTAAGCTGTCACGATACGATCTCAGTGGTTCCAGAAGTTAGTACTTGTAATAAGTTCTTCTGGTTCTAAAGAGACAGGATTATATTTACTCTGCCCTTTACCCTAATATTACTTTAAACCAAATTGATTTAAATTGTTACCAGTCCTTCTCCGAGACAAAGCCACTGCGCTTTGTTTAAAATTACATAACACTACGTAATACAGCCCGCTGGTTCAGACTAGGGATGTTAGGTTTGATTCTCACGCCACTGTCAGAATGTTATCTCCTGACCAGACTGTAGAGACTGAGTGGGGCCCTTTTGAACAGGGGAATTGAGTGGACGCTAGACATTGTGGCGATGGGAGGTTGGAGTTTCGCAAGTCAGTGTAATTCTTGGCAGAACAGGTGTTTGGCAATTAGGAATGTTTGATCTGGGTCACTTAAGATTAAGAATGTACGCTCTAGGGATGTCAGTCCAGAATTGACTGACAGGCCACTTGTTAGCTAATTTGATCTTATAGGTACTTCAGAGGCGTGGCTTAAGTCATCGTCTTGAGGGTTGGGTAGAAAAAAGTAAAGGGAGGAGTTTAATTTGGACAATAGATTGATACTTATACTGCGAGCATTGTAGATTTACCGCATAGTGCCGCCAGCAGGCTACAGCCTCAGACCTACCGTGAAAAAGTATTTTCTCCCTGGTTGAGTCGTGTTCGGCATTTGCTGGAAAGTTCCCAGGTGAATATTAATCTTAATCTTGTATACATAGGTTAGGGAGTTAAGCTTAGTCTATACTACCTTTTCCTAATTTGTCTGCACATTCTGCTTGAAATAGTTCTTTGTGAGTATTCCGTATCTCAGTTAGGGAACTGCTAAACTATTCCTATTTCTTGTATGTTTGTGTCACATGTTTTTCATTGTATGTTTTCATGTGTATAAAATAAGATGTGAACAATGACATTTGCTATAATGAAATGTAATTATATTGTTTCCACCATCAACCAACATATGAGTTTGGACTGTGGGAAATGATGCCCAAATATGTGCAGGGATGCTGCTATGTTTTGTGTGCCCACCATGTGCTCACTTAATGTGTTCAACTAAACAGGGGATTTATAGCCCCAGGGGAAGAATGCTGGGTGTATAGAATTCACGGTCACTGAAAGATAATATTCAGGACAGCGTGCACATATAAATTGTTTGCGTGTTCAGCACAGAACCTGCGCCACATGTTTATGTCAAATCAATGTCAGCCAGTTGGAAGTCTGAGTGATGACAGACAACAGACTTAGAAAGTCAACTATCATGACATAGCATGAGAGAGGAAGGCAAAATATGTGACGTCCATGTAAGACAAAAGACCTTCAGACTAGACTGGAGAGAATGTGGAATATGAGGAGTGATGGGATATATTTTATTCTTATATATTATATTAATTGATACATGTATTCTTAGTGTAAGTCAAGATACTACACGTATGTGTTTTGTTTCCATGATTACAGTGCCCATGTGACGATCAGTCCATGAAGTAGACTACATTGTGTTAGACTCGGCCAGATGGGAACGAGGTGGAGAACGAGGTGGGAATGCAGTGGAGAATAAGCTGAAACAGGCAGAAAACAGGCAAGGAAGAGTTGGACAAGCTTGACAGTTCCTCACAGCTGTCAGAGGCTTATAAGTTAAGTTAACCCCTTTACGTAAACATATTATCATCATCATCATACCACTCTAAACCCCGGAGCTGTTTTCTCGCTGAAGCGTACCACTATCATTATTACAACTGTAGCCAGTCACTGTTAGTGTAACTCAACAAACTGGAAAGTTCATATAAACTAATTGTTAGTAAATAAAGCTGTATGTCAAGTTTTAAACTACATAGTTTGTTAAATTCCAAATGTCTGTTCTTACATGTTTAATTAAACTGTTAAGATAGAATACCATTTGGTGGGAGCTCAATTAATATGATAATAATTCTTTAATTATTCATAATAACACCGGGAGAAGTAGATGACGGAGGAATCATTTGCCCTGTCTAATAATTCATTAAGTATAATGCTATAGACATCTAAAATTTCTTTTCTTCTCTTGTGGGTACCAAGTTCAGCTAATGTTAAAGTACTTAACGAGCCAATATGGCTGTTTTCTTGGATATCCAGGACTTTGTCTGAGAGCAACATAGCTCAGATTTTAGTTCGGTTTATCTGGTGGAGGGAATGTGTTGAGAGGAACATCCCTACTCAACATTATAAAACATTTCATCCCACCCGTCACGTCACATAAGCCAAGACTAATGATTCTAATGTCTAAAGTAAAGGTATGCAGTAAGCCAAGACTAATGATTCTAATGTCTAAAGTAAAGGTATGCAGTAAGCCAAGACTAATGATTCTAATGTCCAAAGTAAAGGTATGCAGCAAGCCAAGACTAATGATTCTAATGTCTAAAGTAAAGGTATGCAGTAAGCCAAGACTAATGATTCTAATGTTTAAAGTAACAACATCTTTTGGATGTGCAAAATAATGCCTTGAAACCAGTACGGTTGCACTTCAATTCCCAGGATCGCCAAGGTGTCCTCGACTTGGAGGTGACAGCCATTAAATCTAGCCACTCCAGCAACAGTCCTCAAGTCTCTTGAGAATTGCTTTTTTTACACTTTGGGGACTTTAACACCCTCTGGACTGAACTGCCCTCATAATTTTATCCCTAACCCCCTAGCTATGACCCCTGGTACTCCACAGGGGGTATTTATTCCCCCAGCCAATGCCTGTAGGCAGTCTGCTGAGAAACCATCGACCCGGCTGCTTCGAGGTACCAGCTAAGTGATTTTGCGTATTTGTGTAGTATTGTTTGATTTGTATGTGCTGATGAAGGCTCCATAGACGCAATGTTCACGTTTTGTTTGTATCTGTTATATTGTGAAGCTTGCTAATATACTTTTCGTTCGGTTTTATATTTTTTCTGGGTATACCGACAATGACTACCAGACATAAAGTGGCACAGGTGAAAGCGTACATGAGTATATCAATCACCCACTGCACAACGCTTAGCAAAAGCAAATGAATGTCACTTAGTGCAAAAAAGCTTGGCATATGATACCACAAAGAGAGACAGAAAAGCTTGGCATATGATACCACAAAGAGAGACAAAAAAGCTTGGCATATGATACCACAAACAGAGACAAAAAAGCTTGGCATATGATACCACAAAGAGAGACAAAAAAGCTTGGCATATGATACCACAAAGAGAGACAAAAAAGCTTGGCATAAGATACCACAAAGAGAGACAAAAAAGCTTGGCATATGATACCACAAAGAGAGACAAAAAAACTTGGCATATGATACCACAAACAGAGACAAAAAAGCTTGGCATATGATACCACAAAGAGAGACAAAAAAACTTGGCATATGATACCACAAACAGAGACAAAAAAACTTGGCATATTATACCACAAAGAGAGAATGGTGCTGCCAGGATATACAATCAAACTTCTATTGGTAAGTACCACTGAAATTGGAATCAATGGTACGACAGATTCAGCATAGTGTCAAATCCTTCCTTAAGAGGATTGTTCTTAGCCATGCTTTAGGCCAAATGGCGCTGATCCAGATCTTGGTGTTGAGTTAAGGACCAGAGGCTGAAAAGGGGAAAATCATGGATGGCTCAAGTAGCAGTACCAGAGGAAAAGTCTGACCCGTGTAAGGTTATGATCACACTGGACCGAGTGTACAGAGAGTGGCCAGCCGGTGCTACGGAGGTTGAAGTCCAACAGTTGATTCACGACATTTCACGCACAGGTGATATGATTATCTTTACAGATGGTTCGGTATTGAGAGGTCAGAGAAGTGCCTGGGGGTTCGTCGCAAAAGCCAATGGAAAATCTTTACTGTAAGACAGCCTAGCATATGACATCACAACATCTAGCATGAGAATGGAAGTGGTAAGTGCAGCTCTTCGGTGGCTAGAGAATAAGATGCACACACATGCCATAATTGTAACAGACTCTGAAAGCATGCTGAGAAAGGTGAAGTCTGTGATGCTTCAAGCAGAGTGGCAAGCTTCCATGGGAAGGTCACTGTAGTGAGCATACTTTAGATCTTTTCTCCAGACCATGATGGCATAGTGAGTAATGAACATGCAGATTGGCTGAATCTGCAGCCCTAGTACTAGATAGTGAAGTGATACATGACAAGGCAGATGTGGTCAGGGCCCTTTGGGAACAAGCAATGGAATCAGTAGAGAAACAAGATTATTCCTAGAGTGAATGAGGTACCTGGGTGTAACCAGAGGGTCTGGCCGGCTCACTACACTCAGCAAGACGGACATACAACAAGATTGTGACGGGTACCATCAGTATTGGAACTCTGCGCTGGCTGCTAAAGATGAGGACGGAGTACGCATGGGAATGCCCCTGAGTGCTGTGATGCCAATTCTAAATTCTTGACTCAACTAGCGTTGAGTATTATTTTATTACAAACTCATATTATTACATTATTTAATACAAATATAATGGACGTCTAATTCCAAACAAACACGCGATGCAATGCAGAAATACTAAGACTTACCAAAGTGTAAAAACAAAAACAAAAAACCAGTAAATCCAGGTAAACTTCAACTAAACTGAATGCGAAAGTTGACGGGCAGCGTTCAGTCTCTCATTGTCTCTCATGATTGTCAGCCAGCAGCACACTTTACAATCACAGATCAAAAAAGAAGTAAAAAAGCCACAGCTCACCGAACCGTGACGCGGCGGTGAAGTGTAGGAGGGATGTTTGTAGGGTGACGAATGTGGTGTGCATGTAAAGATGTCAGTTTACCGAGGACAAGGAGCCGACAATGACGAGACGAGTGGGACCGGATCAAGAGGACAACATGGCGGCAAGCAGACGACAACAACAACACAGCAGTGGCCGAGGCGGCGGCGGCAGTCTCAGGCGGGCTCCTGCCGTTCTTCAGGAACGATTTACTCACACACTCAGACGGAGAACACATTCCCAAAGTCCAGACTCCAGCGTCGTCAATCCTTTTGTGAAGTATTTTCTTTTTGGCATTAATTTTCTGTTTGAGGTAAGTACCGTAGGTGTTGAGTGTTGTTACTTTTTGATTTGATTTTGTTTAGTGTTTTTTTTTTTGGGGGGGGGGGGGGGGGGGTCCCTAATTTACTTCCCTGTTGGGAAGAAGAATGTTACCGTTGTACTGTAACAACTTTCTTATAATAATCATTATATATAATTATTACAAAGTTCTATAAAACTTAATTATCATTATAATTATAAAGTTGAGAAAGTTTGGCTCTCCTTTCACTACAGGCCGGTAGCTGGAAAGCCGCCGTTCGGCTTAGTGGGAGTTCTCTCTCTTGGCTGCGAAAAAGTCACGAATCAAAAAAGACAGTGAGGTCGACAACAGGGCTGCCAATGCTTGTGTGTTTCCCCCAGATCTGGGTGTTTATTAGACGCTTCGGGGAAATCTGGTTTTTTTTAAATATAAAAGTGGTATTAGTTGCCACGGATGTGACTCCTGCAGATCTGTATGACTTAATGACCGATAAATTTGCGTTGTTAGGGGTAGGATTATGGGTAGCGGTAGGGTTTGGGTTAGGGTTAGATGTGACAATTTTGACGCAGGAGTTCCAAATAATTGCGCACAGTCACATACACACCCAAACAATCGAAGGACTGTGGATGCTACTCAAACGGACAATTCACCACCGATTGGGCACCAGCCGCGCGCTATTGCTGTCATATTTGGGAGAATTCCAGTGGCGCCACTCCCACAAGCATCAGACTGTCGGCCATTATTTGGAACTCCTACGTCAAAATTTTCACATCTAACCCTACCCCTAACCCTAATCCTAACCCTAACCCTACCCTTAACCCTAACCCTAACGCCGCTAACCCTATCCCTAACCCAAACCCTACACCTTACGCAACCGTACATGCAACCGTATGATGATAGGTAAGTATGTCATTTGATTCGTGACTTTTCCGCTCCGTGTTTGCAATGCAGCCAAGGGAGAGAACTCCCACTAAGCCGATCGGCGGCTTTCCAGCTACCGGCCTGTATTGAAAGAAGAGCCAAAAGTTTAAATAATAAACATCAATAATAATAATGGTCAAGTATTTTAAGTATCTGACAAGCCTGGTAGGGGTGCTAGTGTTTTTAGTTTTATCATCATCATGTGCACTGCTAACAGTCGTAGGTGCTCATTCGTCTCCACAGATCACGATCCCTGGTTGCTTGGAACAGCTCTCTTGATGATATCCCTCCATGCCATCGTTCCAGCCCATCCAGCATCATCTCTCTTGGTCTGCCTCTACCCCTTTTTCCACTGATCTTTCCAGTTGTCACGATGTTCTCCAATGTCTCTCTTCTCATTATGTGGCCAAAGAACAGTGTTTATCTCTTTCTTATCGTTGTATATATAGAGATCTACTTTCATTAGCCTCTTTCAAGCAATCGTTGTTAGCTACTCTGGCCGTCCAAGGTATTCAAGGTATTTGTAACATTCGTCTCAGAAACCACATCTCTGTTGCTTCCAAATTTTTCTTAATTTGTTCACTCACACTCCAAGATTCACTACAGTACAGCAGAACATGTTCTATGTAACATTTAACACTCTCTTTCTGACATTAAATGATAGCGATTTATTGCATAAAATATTTTTCATTTTCTGAAATGCAGCTTTCGCTTAACCTTTTCTGCTTTTAATCTCTGTCATCTATTTTCCGATGATATGATTGTTCTCAGATATTTGAATGTATTGACTTGTTTAAGTCTTTTTCCTTAAATTGAGAAATCACAACGTAGAGTTATCTTCATCTTTGATGAAACCATTACTTTAGTTTTATATATTGGATTATTACTTATGAAACATCGCAGCTAGATAGATATTGAAACATCTAATCCGAGAATACTTAAGTGAAGCCTGCTAGTCAGAATAGACAAATTATAGTGGATTTGACAAAAGATGGGTTCTGAGTTGCAACCCAGTAAAATGAGGATGGAAATGACACAATCTTTGCATTTGTGGCAATACTTATTTTTTTCGCTCAACTCTTTGAGTCCCAGGGGGTTTAACTTCAGAGGCTCAAGGGGCTTAACTTCAGAGGCCCAAGGGGCGTTAATGTAATTTTTTTAAATTTTACAAGTGTAACACATTAAAATATTCAGTAGCATGTACCTTGCAGAACCTTATTATCATAACAATCCTCAGAAAAACTTCTCGATCTCAAGAAATATGTCCCTCGCCCGATACACACATCTGGATCTCATCCACCACATCCTGCACCTATCTTCTTTTTGGCCTTCCTCTTCCTTTCTTCCCAGGCATATACCTGTGGCATGACGCCAAAAGTCGTTTATAATTTTTTTGTTTCCACAGTTATTTTGAAAGTATACACACGCAGGATAGCGGCAGTCCAGATAAGGGGTATAGGGAGAATCTTGACTGCCAGCAATTTCTTAGTCTACACACAGGAGAAAAAGAAGAGAAATAGGCCCTACTAAGTTCAAGCTTCACCATTTTAAACAATAGTCGTACCACAAGATTAACAGAGAGAGCTGGAGACTCGGATGGAGTGATCAACCTAGCTTTAGCGTTCAGTACTGATGCATACACAGTGCACTGGGATGTTCTTAGGGTGCAAGAAAGTGATCATCTGCTGTGCTGTTTTTTCATCCAAAAGGGACAGACTGTTAAAGAAATGAAATCACAATATACATTCACATATATGGCTAATGAAGATCAGGTTGGTACATTGCATTCGCTGCGCCAAACAGCCAGATAAAAGATATGAAAAACATTTGTGCAACCACCGTGGTGGAACCAACAGGTGGAAGAGGCATGGAAAGCAAAAACATTGGCTATGAATGGTAGAAAGCACAAAAACTAAGACCTGCAAATTATGAAGATATTAAGTTAAAACCTCAAGATAAACAAAACCTGAGTAATGCATTTAAAATCTGTGCCAAAGTGGTGAAGGAAAGCATTGGGGAAAATTTGGGACAGACGTAGCGGGTGAGAAAACAATTTCATCAATTCTGAATCAAATGAATCAAATAAACAAAAGTACCGTTTGTCAAATGGCGTATATTCGAATTCAGGAGGTAAAATATTGACAGGTGACACGGAGAAGGGGCAGAAATATTTTTGGTGGTTTTTAATCAAAGTGGATAAAGACTATAGAACAGATCGGAGCAACACTTTAGAGAATCGCAGGCATAGCACTGTCATAGACAACGATTATGAAGACTTGCTGGCTGAAATCAACAACAGCTGGCAGTGTGAGACAGCAGAAATAATGCTCCAGAGCCAGACAATGTAGGCTATGGTCATATCAAACAAGTAATGATGAAATACTGTGAGTGGTGATTGACTTTAATGATAGTATCCAAACGTTAAGTGTACCAGATGACTGGTTACATAGTTATCTTAAACCATTTCCAAAACCAGGCAGAGATCCCTCACATCTAAGCAGTTATAGCATCATAACCCTGCAAAATCTGTATGGCAAACTGCTGACAAGAATTAGGGAATTTCACACTTGGAAATAAAGGACATGCTACCAGACACCATGGGCAGCTATAGGCCATCAAAGGCAACATGTGACAGTGATGGAACTTTCGCATATGATGCGTATGAAGGATTTCAGCGGAAGCAAGAAACAGTCGCTGTCATGATAGATCTTGAGGATGCATGTAACAGCTTTGACTTCACTTATCTTATGCAGTGCATGATGGACTTGTGGTGTGAACCCCTGGTTAGCTAATAAGGTCAGGGCAGCATTGTTGGAAAGAACAGTGGTATTTTGTTTGGGAACATGGAAATTAGATCTAATAACCATTGCCCAGGCCGGTCCTTTCTCAGGGATCACCATTGTTACCTGTCTTGTTTAACATATGTACTGTAAGTCTGGCAAAAATTCAGCCCACTGGACCAGGGCAAACTTTATCATTTGCAGATGATGTCCTAATGTATCAAAGCGGGTCAGACAGGCACATCATGACCAGAGACTTGCAAAGGGCTTTGCATGAGATGACACAGTGGTGTGAACAGACAGGATCAAGAGTAAATCTAGATAAGGCCAGTGTTTTTTGGGGCTGAACAATCTAAGAGAAGACCGGTTGAAAAGAGGAAAGTCGTGGTGGGCTTTAACTGAAGATACCATCGAGACAGAGGCCTCAATCTATATAGGGGGCAGGAATCAGTCGAAACAAACACCCACAACAGCAGTTTCCATTAGGTCATTATTACGTTAGGAAGAGAATGTAGAGAGTGATGTAACGGTATGGCATAATTAGAGGTACAACAACTGATAGATATAAAGGCTGGGCTAGATGTTGTAGTGGTGTACACCGATGGTTGTTTTCATCGGGGTGTAAGATCTGGCTGGGGATTTTCAGCTAGAATGAGAGGACAAATTGTAGCAGAACAAAATGGAGCTTTTTTGTCTACAAGGTCAAGCATGAGGATAGAAGTGGAGGCAATCACTGCAGCACTGATCTGGATAGCAAAAAAACAAAGTTACCAGAGGAATTATTGTGTCTGATTCTCAGTCGGCACTTCAGAAGATTCCAAATGGACTAATATGGCATGAGTGGATACCATGCATCAGTACACCAACATTGCAGGGAATCATGTGGATGTGCTGTCCGGGAGATTTAAGGGAATGAAAGCGCTGATTTTCTGGCTACAAAAGCTAAAGCTAAAGGAAGACTTGTGCTGGACAAGGGAGGTATACTGAAGACCATATATGAATGACTGTTGACAGAAGACACAAGATTAGATGAAATAACGTGCAAGAATGCGTGAACGAGGAATTAAGTGTGGATCCGGCAAGGAGGGACGGATGAAAGGAAGGAAAATGACATGTCTATAATCAGTGTGCAACGGAAACAGTCAGCATCTATACATTAAGACGCCCGGCTCTCTAGCGAAATCGGCTAAACCGGATTTCGCAGAGATCGGGTGACGTACTCCTTGTGGTCCGGGTTCAATCCCGGGGGTAGGCAGGAAAGCCACATTTTCTCCCAGATTGACGGTATTTACAATGGAATCAAGGCCGAAAGGTTGCGATATCCATAATACCGAGCCTAAGGGTTAACAACTCATGGCTTCTGGATACTAAAACAAACAAACAATACATTAAGACATTTGCTATGGGAGACGGAGCATCTATGGGTATGCCTGGTGTGCTATGATATCGATTCTTAAATCAGTAATCAGAACATTCGTGAGAGACTGGTAGTCTTGGTTGATATAACACTTATAAAATTTGAAGGAAAACAAAGTAGAGACTGGCAACAGTTTATTGTGGATATAATTCACTGTGTCTTGTCAGGTGCATTAATTAAAGGAAGCAAATACGTGAATCCTTTCAACTGAAGTACAAAATCAGTTACACTCAAAATCACTTACTGTTTTACTAGGGCAGATACAGGTTCATGACCAATAAATTCTTGTGTGTGTGGGGGAAGGGGGTGGGGGGTTGAAAGCAGTTATCTGTGACTGCTTTGGCAAATTGAAAAAGTCTTTGGTTGGTTGATATAACCCAAACATATATATATGTTAATTGTGTTGACCATTTATTCAAACAGCTCATCGGAATAGCATTTGCAGCAACAGGCATTTACATCTTGTCACAGAAGAATAAGGCAGTGACCAGCTTCATTGATTTTGTCTTTGATCCAGGCTGTGATTTATGCCTAGCTGGATTTATCATTTTGGTCATTGCTTTCTTTGGCTGTGTAGGGGCATTGCGAGAGTCAACACTGTTCCTGAAGATTGTGAGCATGTGTTTTGTGAAATGTTACATCATTATCTGTGTGATCATGTGTGTTTTATAATATGTTACATCACTATCTGCGTGATCATGTGTGTTTTATAATATGTTACATCACTATCTGTGTGATCATGTGTGTTTTATAATATGTTACATCACTATCTGTGTGATTGTGTGTGTTCTGCAATATGTTACATCATTATTTGTGTAATTGTATGTGTTTTGAAATATGTTACATCATCTGTGTGATTGTGTGTGTTTTGAAATGTGTTACATCATTATCTGTGTAATTGTGTATGTTCTGTAATATGTTACATCATTATCTGTGTGATTGTGTATGTTCTGTAATATGTTACATCATTATCTGTGTGATTGTGTATGTTCTATGATATGTTACATCATTAACTATGTGATTGTGTGTGTTTTGTAATATGCTGCATCATTATAAGTGTATGTGTATATTTTGTTATATGTTACAACATTATCTCTGTGATTGTGTGTTTTGTAATGTGTTGCATCATTATCTCTGTGATTGTGTGTTTTGTAATGTAATGCATCATTATCTCTGTGATTGCATGTTTTGTAATGTGTTGCATCATTATCTCTGTGATTGAGTGTTTTGTAATGTGTTGCATTATTATCTCTGTGATTGAGTGTTTTGTAATGTGTTGCGTCATTATCTCTGTGATTGGGTGTTTTGTAATGTGTTGCATCATTATCTCTACAATTGCATGATTTTTAATGTGTTGCATCATTAGTCCTACAAAACTGAACCAGGTCTTTCTATTTATAATATGCTGTATTATTTTCTGTGTTTTAATGTGCTACACCATTTTATGTGTGAATTAATACGTGCCCTATACATTTTCCATTGTGTGTATGTTAGAAAATGTCTCGTTAAGCCTGTCAATAATTGTAAATGTTTTTTGGTGAGCTGCTTTTCTTTAAAAATTTGTGCTATTGGGGAGATTATGTATTATAATGTCAATGATTATGTGTTATAGTATCAGTGATTATATGTTGTAATGTATGTTATAATGACAGTGAATATGTAAATGTTATAATTTTTTGTGATTAGGGATTGTGTGTTATAGTCTCAATTAATGTATGTTATAATGTCAATGATTGGCTGTCATGAGGTCAGTGATTGTGTGTTATAATATCAGTGATTGTGGTGTGTGTGTGTGTTTTATAGTGTCAGCAATTGTGTGTTATAAATTTAATGATTGTTTATGTGTTATAATATCAGTAAATATTAGGGCTGTGCCTCGCCACAATCTGCGATCTCCTCCAGCATGTATCAGTTTGTGTGTTGACAAGCCTCCATGCCATGCAACAAGACTGTCAATCATCTTCTTTTATTTTCCTTCCCTATCCCTCCTTCCACATATCTTTCCAGTGGTCACCACATGTTCCATTTTCCCTCTTCTCATAACATGATGTCTGTGATTAGTTGTATTTGGGCTCCTGCCTCTTTCAAAACCTCTGGTTGCTTTTTTTTGGCTGTCCAAGGTATTCTAAGCATTCTTCTGTAAAACCACACCTCTGAGGCCTCAAGAAATTGTTTGGCCTGCCTATTGATTATCTAGGACTCACAGCCGTGTTAAAACTGGATTCATGTAGCAAGCAAGAATTCTTTTTCTAACTGTCAATGACAAAGATATATTGCATAAGATGTTCTTCATTTTATAAAATGCAGTTTTTGCCTGTCCTATTTTGTTTCTTATTTCAGTAATGCATCTTCCATCTGATGTTATCAGTATGCCCAGATACTTAAATTTCTGTACTTGTCCCAAAATAACAGCATTGACTTTTATTACACATTTAGGAATAGTTCTTTTCTTTGATACCACCATTACTTCTGTCTTCCAACTTGTCAAACTGAGGCCCATTCTTCCACTGTCAAATAGTGTTTAGTGTATAAAATAGATCTAAAAAAAAACATTCATAACGTCAAATGTACGCTGAAAGTTTACTTCACAAAATGTAGTACAGAATAGTAAACATTTAAAAACATTTCATGTTTTGCATTCTTCGGTCAGTCAGTGGTAACTAATACCTAGGAATTAAAGTATTCTTAGTTTTATAACAAGTAACTAAACTTGTAAATTGGCACTGACAGCTTAGTTAATGCATGAAAGTGACTTAGACAACAGCAACTATCGCAGTGAATGCAGAAACGGGTGTCAGGTAACCACTATTCGTATTCGGCCCTACCGCAAGTATTCGGCTGAATACCGAATAGTTATTAGGTCCACTATTTGGCCCCAAAGCGAATACGAAGCGAATATTTAGTACAGCCCTAGTAAATATACTGTTAAAAAAAAAGAAACGCATAGTTACTGTAAGGAACAAACATACTCACAATTTTGACATTCTGCATCTTTGTTATGCAGTAAGTGAAATTACTCAAATTTCACACAAAATACCTTAGGGTTCCACCAACCAATTGACACTATTTTTGGAATCTGGGTCACAATAGTTTTTAAGCGTAGGCCTTTCCTGTTAGCTTGGTGTGTGGCCTCCTGTTGCGTGGATCAGTGACTGGCATCTCCTGGGCATGGATGCGATCAGATGTCTGGTGTGGGCCTGTGGGAATGCTGCCCACTCTTCTTGGAGTGTCTGGAACAGATCACAACCATTGGCTGGAGCAACGTTTCGATGACAAACACGTCTTTACAGCTCATCCCACAGGTGCACAATCGGACTCATGTCTGCAGATAGGGATGGCCAGGGAAGGGTTTCAATGTTATTGGCAGTCAGGAATTGCGTGGTCAGCTGTGCAGATGGGTACTGTCATTGTCCTGCTGAAAAGGATATCTGTTGGCATCCCAAAATGGAAGGACATGTGTTCGAAGAATTTAATGGACGTATTGTTGTGCAATCAAGCTTCCTTCAATGTGCACCAATTGACTTTTTCCGTTGTAACAGATCATTCCCCATACCATTACACCCCCACCACCGTGCAGCAGAGCTTCATCAACACAGTTTTGGGCTAAACCTTCATTTCGTCTACGATAGAACCTACGCCGTCTATCATGACGCTGCAACAAAAATAACATCTCCACTGATTGTCACTTGCCCAGGGACGATTTTGGTTGACCCAAAGAAGTCGATTTTGGCAGTGGTGATGCGTAAGAACAGGTCCTCGGTGTGTTCGTTGAGCCTAAAGTCCAACATCATGCAGTCTGTTCTAAACAGTTTGATCAGACACATGACGTCCTGGAGGCAATGCCTGTGCATTTAAGGGGCTGTTGTAAACCTGTCTCTAAGCTTACGTAGCCCATTAAAGCGATTCTCCGCTGCTGTTGTCACTCTGGGTCGTCCAATGGAATGTCCGTCTTCAACTAAACCAGTGGCTTGGAACCGGTGTTAAAGTCGACTGATGGTACTCTGATGCACGTTTAGATGCCTGGCAAATTGACTTTGACTTTGCTCTGCCTGCAATCGGCAAATAGCAATATTCCTTCAATTTATCGATAGAGGCGCCATTCATGACTGCTTGAAAATGAAGTGATCGTTTTGATGTAGCATTATCCTTTTATATGGTTTAAATTGTGTAGGCAATGAATAGTGTTCACAGCAAATTGCGTTGCTTTCTCATGCACGCATCGTAAGCTATGCTCACAAATATGGTCTTAAACACAATTGACCACTGCATTGTAACGATTACAAAATTCCACGCAATTTACGCTCACATGTTCACTGGACAGGGTAAACAACATTTGAGTCTGCATTTCAAATACCTGAGAACGATATTTTAGTTACAAACTAATAAAAACGCGCCATCCGTTTCTTTTTTTGAACAGTATATGTGTGTTAATAATGTCGATGATTGTGTTATAATGTCAGTGATTGTAGGTGATAATTTCAGTGATTTGTATGATGTCAGTGATTGCATGTTATACTGTCAATGATATCAGTGATTGTGTGTGATAAAGTCGATGATTATGTGTGTATAATAATGTCAGTGATTTTATGTTTGTTTCTGATCATGTCAGTGATTATATGTATATGATAATTTCAGTGATTGTGTATGTGATAGTCAGTGACTGTGTGTGTTTGTGTGTGTGATAATATCAGTGATTGTGAGTGATTTTATGTGAAAATGTCAGTGATTATGAGTGACAACTGTGTGTGTATGATCACATGGTATAATTTCAATGAATATGTGTGTTATAATGGTAATGATTGTGTGTTAATAATGTCAATGATTGTATGTGTGTTGTAATGTCAGTGATTCTTTTTGTAGGTTACAATATCATTGATTGTGTGTGTTATATTGTCAGTAAATATGTGGGCTATCCTCCAAATGCGGCGTGGATTGGGCTAAACTAGATGGCTGAGACTCACGAGCAACAGCTACCGCATCTCCTGCGGCTTCCTTGCTCGTGAGTCCCAACCATCTAGTTTAGCCCTAAACTGAGGCCCTGTTAGGGCATATTTTCGGCCTCGATAATTTGGGACTCTTATTCGGAGGATAGCCAATATGTGTGTTAAAATGCCAGTGATTATGTGATAATGTCTGTGATTGTGTGTGTGATAATGTCAGTGATTGTGTGTGATGTCAGTGATTTTGTTATAATATCATTGATTTGATTATTTGTATTTTCAGTAATTATGTGTTATAATGTACTATCTAAGCGCGAGACTTCTCTAACAGTATGCTGCATTATTAGCCAGGTTAGTTTTTATGTGTGTGCTCTTGTGAGTGGTACATTTTCTCCTGCATGGCCGAAGCAGTACAGAGTTGTTGAAATAAACATGCATAGTCGGGCGTTATTTAATAGTGTAAATGTTTTTTTTTTAAATGGAGAAACCACATAAAATATTCATGCATAGGTGCACATGTAAATTTGTGTATTCACAGACAGGTGATGTATGGTCACATCCATGTTTGTTTTTTCTTTCACAGTATCACCTTCTACTCAGCATCTTCCTCATCCTGGAGGTTATAGTAGTCATCTTTGTTTTTGTATTTTACTTTGTGGATGGGGCTTTTGCTAACATTGGCCTATACCCAGAAGATGCCTTTAAGGATGCCATCCACAAGTATCGGGATGATCCAGACACCCAGGGATTCATTGACAACATCCAGGAAACAGTCAGTTCTTGTTCCTTTTTTTTATGTCAACTGTCTCTCCTGTGTCTTGAGAAATGTACATCAGCTGTCTGTCCTTTGTCTTGAGAGAGAGTACATGTACTGTCCTATGTCTTGAGAGAGTGTACATCAGCTGTCTGTCCCATGTCTTGAGAGAGTTTACTTTAACTGTTTGTCTTGTGTCTTAAGGGAGTGTGTACATCTACTGTCTGTCCTGTCTTGAGAGAGTGTACATCAGCTTTCTGTCCTATGTCTTGAGAGAGTGTACATCAACTGTCCTATGTCTTGAGAGAGTGTACATCAACTGTCTGTCCTATGTCTTGAGAGAGTGTGTACATCTACTGTCTGTCCTGTCTTGAGAAAGTGTACATCAGCTGTCTGTCCTATGTCTTGAAAGAGTGTGTACATTTATTGTCTGTCCTATGTCTTGAGAGATTGTACTGTAGCACAGCTCTGTTCTTTGTGTACGTCGATATCACACCCAGGTTCATCTTCAGTTTTGCTACAGGAGGAGTCGATTGAAGAATATAGTTGAGGAGAAAGATGGTCATGTCGATAGTGGTGATGATGATGATGTCTTGCTTGCTGCATGCTTCTCACGTCTCTGATGCTTGAAAATTAAATGTCTGGAAACAACTCTTCTTTTCTATACCGTCTTTATTGTGATACTTTAACAATGTCACAAATTACATCAATGATATTCTAAATGGTGCTGTGTTTGCTCTATGGTTACATACTCTTGAGGTCGCTTTGTGTTTTTCATCTCTACTTTGTAAACTAGTTCTAGTTTCTGTAACTGCCACCTGGCTTCTAGTGCTTTCGATACTAATGTGTCTCTGTTAACTATGGATCCATTTGTTTTCTTCTCACTTTGACTGCTTCTAGAATATTCTTGTATGCTCAACTTGTTTGCTATGCATCTTCTCACGTGGGATTTTCTAATTACATCTTGATTGCATCAGATTTCATCATCTTATTCTGCACCTAAATAAAGTAATTTAATTGACAGCTGACCTCATTGAGACTTCTAGAAAACCAGTACAACTGTGTTCACTTTGATAGGGCATGTCAACAGTGACATAATTTAGAATTTATAGATTATTCATTTGCAAAATATATCTACTTTATAACAAATGAAAGTTCTAGAAAAGGGAATATCAAGGTTGCCAAAACTGGTTGATTCCTGTACATATTAGCTTTGCAAAATATCCTACCTCCTAACAAATAATGATGTCTCCTTGTTACAGTACAGCAGCTGTCTGTACTATGTCTCGAGAAAGTGTACATCAACTGTCCTCATCTTGAGAGAGCTGTCTGTCCTCATCCTGAGAGAGTGTACATCAGCTGTCTGTCCTTATCTTGAGAGAGTGTACATCAGCTGTCTGTCCTATATCTTGAGAGAGTGTACATCAGCTGTCTGTCCTCATCCTGAGAGAGTGTACATCAGCTGTCTGTCCTATATCTTGAGAGAGTGTACATCAGCTGTCTGTTCTATATCTTGAGAGAGTGTACATCAGCTGTCTGTCCTATATCTTGAGAGAGTGTACATCAGCTGTCTGTCCTATATCTTGAGAGAGTGTTCATCAGCTGTCTGTTCTATATCTTGAGAGAGTGTACATCATCTGTCTGTCCTATATCTTGAGAGAGTGTACATCAGCTGTCTGTTCTATATCTTGAGAGAGTGTACATCAGCTGTCTGTACTATGTCTCGAGAAAGTGTACATCAACTGTCCTCATCTTGAGAGAGCTTTCTGTCCTCATCCTGAGAGAGTGTACATCAGCTGTCTGTCCTTATCTTGAGAGAGTGTACATCAGCTGTCTGTCCTATATCTTGAGAGAGTGTACATTAGCTGTCTGTCCTCATCTTGAGAGAGTGTACATCAGCTGTCTGTCCTATATCTTGAGAGAGTGTACATCAACTGTCTGTCCTATATCTTGAGAGAGTGTACATCAGCTGTCTGTTCTATATCTTGAGAGAGTGTACATCAGCTGTCTGTCCTCATCTGGAGAAAGTGTACATCAGCTGTCTGTCCTATATCTTGAGAGAGTGTACATCAGCTGTCTGTTCTATATCTTGAGAGAGTGTACATCAGCTGTCTGTCCTATATCTTGAGAGAGTGTACATCAGCTGTCTGTTCTATATCTTGAGAAAGTGTACATCAGCTGTCTGTCCTATATCTTGAGAGAGTGTACATCAGCTGTCTGTACTATGTCTCGAGAAAGTGTACATCAACTGTCCTCATCTTGAGAGAGCTGTCTGTCCTCATCCTGAGAGAGTGTACATCAGCTGTCTGTCCTTATCTTGAGAGAGTGTACATCAGCTGTCTGTCCTATATCTTGAGAGAGTGTACATCAGCTGTCTGTCCTCATCTTGAGAGAGTGTACATCAGCTGTCTGTCCTATATCTTGAGAGAGTGTACATCAATTGTCTGTCCTATATCTTGAGAGAGTGTACATCAGCAGTCTGTTCTATATCTTGAGAGAGTGTACATCAGCTGTCTGTCCTCATCTGGAGAAAGTGTACATCAGCTGTCTGTCCTATATCTTGAGAGAGTGTACATCAGCTGTCTGTCCTATATCTTGAGAGAGTGTACATCAGCTGTCTGTCCTATATCTTGAAAGAGTGTACATCAGCTGTCTGTCCTATATCTTGAGAGAGTGTACATCAGCTGTCTGTTATATATCTTGAGAGAGTTTACATCAGCTGTCTGTTCTCACCTTGAGAGAGTGTAAATCAGCTGTCTGTTATATATCTTGAGTTTACATCAGCTGTCTGTTCTCACCTTGAGAGAGTTTACATCAGCTGTCTGTTCTCATCTTGAGAGAGTGTACATCAGCTGTCTGTCTTCATCTTGAGAGAGTTTACATCAGCTGTCTGTTCTCACCTTGAGAGAGTTTACATCAGCTGTCTGTCTTCATCTTGAGAGAGTGTACATTAGCTGTCTGTTCTCATCTTGAGAGAGTTTACATCAGCTGTCTGTTCTCACCTTGAGAGAGTGTACATCAGCTGTCTGTCTTCATCTTGAGATAGTGTACATTAGCTGTCTGTTCTCATCTGGAGAGAGTGTACATCAGCTGTCTGTTCTATATCTTGAGAGAGTGTACATCAGCTGTCTGTCCTATATCTTGAGAGAGTGTACATCAGCTGTCTGTCCTCATCTTGAGAGAGTGTATATCAGCTGTCTGTCTTCATCTTGAGAGAGTGTACATCAGCTGTCTGTTATATATCTTGAGAGAGTTTACATTAGCTGTCTGTTCCGATCTTGAGAGAGTGTACATCAGCTGTCTGCTCTCATTTTGAGAGAGTGTACATCAGCTGTCTGTTCTCATCTTGAGAGAGTTTACATCAGCTGTCTGTCTTCATCTTGAGAGAGTTTACATCAGCTGTCTGTTCTCATCTTGAGAGAGTGTACATCAGCTGTCTGTTCTTATCTTGAGAGAGTGTACATTAGCTGTCTGTTCTCATCTTGAGAGAGTGTACATTAGCTGTCTGTTCTCATTTCGAGAGAGTGTACATCAACTGTCCTATGTCTTGAGAGAGTGTACATCAACTGTCTGTCCTATGTCTTCAGAGAGTGTGTACATCTACTGTCTGTCCTGTCTTGAGAAAGTGTACATCAGCTGTCTGTCCTATGTCTTGAAAGAGTGTGTACATTTATTGTCTGTCCTATGTCTTGAGAGATTGTACTGTAGCACAGCTCTGTTCTTTGTGTACGTCGATGTCACACCCAGGTTCATCTTCAGTTTTGCTACAGGAGGAGTCGATTGAAGAATATAGTTGAGGAGAAAGATGGTCATGTCGATAGTGGTGATGATGATGATGTCTTGCTTGCTGCATGCTTCTCACGTCTCTGATGCTTGAAAATAAAATGTCTGGAAACAACTCTTCTTTTCTATACCGTCTTTATTGTGATACTTTAACAATGTCACAAATAACATCAATGATATTCTGAATGGTGCTGTGTTTGCTCTATGGTTACATACTCTTGAGGTCGCTTTGTGTTTTTCATCTCTACTTTGTAAACTAGTTCTAGTTTCTGTAACTGCCACCTGGCTTCTAGTGCTTTCGATACTAATGTGTCTCTGTTAACTATGGATCCATTTGTTTTCTTCTCACTTTGACTGCTTCTAGAATATTCTTGTATGCTCAACTTGTTTGCTATGCATCTTCTCACGTGGGATTTTCTAATTACATCTTGATTGCATCAGATTTCATCATCTTATTCTGCACCTAAATAAAGTAATTTAATTGACAGCTGACCTCATTGAGACTTCTAGAAAACCAGTACAACTGTGTTCACTTTGATAGGGCATGTCAACAGTGACATAATTTAGAATTTATAGATTATTCATTTGCAAAATATATCTACTTTATAACAAATGAAAGTTCTAGAAAAGGGAATATCAAGGTTGCCAAAACTGGTTGATTCCTGTACATATTAGCTTTGCAAAATATCCTACCTCCTAACAAATAATGATGTCTCCTTGTTACAGTACAGCAGCTGTCTGTACTATGTCTCGAGAAAGTGTACATCAACTGTCCTCATCTTGAGAGAGCTGTCTGTCCTCATCCTGAGAGAGTGTACATCAGCTGTCTGTCCTTATCTTGAGAGAGTGTACATCAGCTGTCTGTCCTATATCTTGAGAGAGTGTACATCAGCTGTCTGTCCTCATCCTGAGAGAGTGTACATCAGCTGTCTGTCCTATATCTTGAGAGAGTGTACATCAGCTGTCTGTTCTATATCTTGAGAGAGTGTACATCAGCTGTCTGTCCTATATCTTGAGAGAGTGTACATCAGCTGTCTGTCCTATATCTTGAGAGAGTGTTCATCAGCTGTCTGTTCTATATCTTGAGAGAGTGTACATCATCTGTCTGTCCTATATCTTGAGAGAGTGTACATCAGCTGTCTGTTCTATATCTTGAGAGAGTGTACATCAGCTGTCTGTACTATGTCTCGAGAAAGTGTACATCAACTGTCCTCATCTTGAGAGAGCTTTCTGTC